ATGCCAAGGTGAAATGGGGAAATCAAGGCAGATTCTTGGCTGCCATGGCAGACTAGCATTTATCCAAAGCCATCCTTAAGGAAAATGGTACAAAGAAAACCCAAATTCTTTAAAGTGATGTCCAAGGACCTTGGCTACCTCCATAGCCACATCTCGGGCCCCCGGTCCAGCTTTGGTTCCCCAAGACCAAGGAATTGCTGGTCCTCTGAAGGCACCCTTCTTTTCCCACTGGGCCTTTGCCCATGTTATCTCCTCTGCCCCCAATGCTCTTCACTCTCCCTATTGTCTATTTAACTCCTACCTGTCCTTTAAGACTCAGCTCCACCATGACTTCCTCTGGGACAAGTGTCCTCCCTTCCTCGAAGGCCTGTCCTCAATGCTGGGATGGGTATTCTCCCAAGCCTTACCCTATGCCTCTATAATTTTCTATATCCAAAAATCACTTTAGTTCACTAGACTTTAAATTTACCTTTAAAATTGTCTTATGTAATTCCTTAAAGGTATTTACTTTCTGTTACTCATTGTTGCATCCCTAATAGGGAACACAGATATTGGTGTGTATAACGTATTTGATTAGTTTGAGAAATAAAGGACTCCTAGACCCTAATACTGGGAAAGGCTTACTATGGGGACAAAACAACTTTTCATTTCAAGGAAAAGGTGTAGATGGATCTAAAAGTCATTTCATCAGATTCCAGCCCATTAATCTTGCCCCACACCATCCTGTTTGTGCCTGTCTACAAACAGCCAGCAGTACTTCAACAGGCGGGAGAGCCCCTCACCTCCCAGCAGTTCCTGGACCTTGCCATCTCCAACAGGGCCCCAAACCTAGCTCTGTTCCTTCCTGCCCACTTCCTGCAAAACTTCCTCATCAGAACTAGACTGCTTCTTCTTGAAACTGCTCCATCATACCCACTCCTGGATTTTATCCTAAAGGAAATAGTTCAAAAGAAGAAGAACACAGAATTTCCTGCCGGAAGATGCTCACTTGCAGTAGTATTTGTAAAAGTTAAAACAGAAATGACAACAATCTCCTTATAAACAAAAATCCATTCCTCTCTATAATCTCCATATGAATCAAATAATCGATTACTTCATGCAGAAACTAAGAAGAGTCTCACCACATTGGGACAATTTGGTTTTTTACTTCACTTTATTAGCAAACATAGGACTTACTATGTTCAGGCACTATTCTATTGCATGAATATGAACTCACTTATATTCTCAAGACAGCCCTCTGAGGTAGGTGCTATTGTGTCCACATTATTTATTTCAGAATACGTTTGCTTCGGTCTGATATAAAATGAAAGTTAAATGGCCTACAAGACACTTGTTTGAAGCAGCACTGTGAGGTACATCAAATGTTTTTCTTCCTGATACAGTTGTACGATACATATTTATAAAAGAGGATGGTCAGTTGACTTGAGTTGGGTGAGTTTAAAAACTTACATATTTGGGGGCATCTGGGTGGTGCCTTCGGCTTAGGTCATAATCCAAGGGTCCTGGGATCCAGTCCCGCATCAGGCTCCCTACTGGACGGGAAGCCTGCTTCTCCTCTCCCACTCCCTCTGCTTGTGTTCCCTCTCACGCTGTGTCTCTCTCTGTCAAATAAGTAAATCTTTTTTTTAAGATTTTATTTATTTATTTGACACAGAGAGAGAGAGAGAGATATCACAAGTAGGCAGAGAGGAAGGCATGGGGGATGGGGAGCAGGCCCCCTGCTGAGCAGAGAGACCCACGGGTTACGGGGCTTGATCCCAGGACTCTGAGATCATGACCTGAGCCAAAGGCAGAGGCTTAACCCACTGAGCCACCCAGGCGCCCCTAAATAAATAAAATCTTTTTTTTTAAAGTACATATTTTAACTTTTGCCATCATCCCATAGACGGAGAAGATCCTCATGTTTATTAATTTTTCAAAATATTTTTTAGCCTCTGGATATACTTATGAAACAGTATCAGATAAAACACACTGTTGCACTGAAACTACCTCGCTTTCCTACAACTGCAGGTCCAATTGAGGGTCTGTTTGGTTATAACCACTAGTAAGTCACAAAGGCAGATGCTCCAAATTGCAGGTGTACTATGACGGTAGTGACAGAATCTATTGAGCACATCATAAGTGTTATACCGCAAATCTTAAAATCATCACATTGAGTAGGTATGGTCATCATTGCCATCTTACTGAGGAGGAACCAGAGATGCAAAGACCTTAAGTAGTTTACTGAACTGAAATAGGAAGTGAAGGGTAAAGCCAGGCTTCCAATCCCAGCAGCCTTCCTGGAGTGCTCCTGCTGGCCTTACCCCGCCACCCACCACCAACCCCCCACACCCCCCACGCCCCCCCCAACCCCCGCCGGCTGCTGCTCAAGAACTATGTGTGCTTCGAAGCAGGTGACGGGTGTGATTTACAAAGTAATCCTGTTATAAGGTTGAAAGTTATCACAGTGCTGAATTAATGATTGCAATTAGAGAAAATTATGATAACTCAGACTCATTTTTCTTAGGGCTATTAAATTGTATTTACCAAAGGTTAATAATTATCCTGAGCAATGTCAGCTAGACACCCCTACTGTTCAATACTAAGGAAATTACTAAACAGATTGGGGTACATTAACATTAGGAAAGGTCATGACAACACTAAAAGGTAAAAATATGAGAAAAAGTAAAAATCTGAAAAAAATTCTGGTAGCAAGTGGAAAAACAAACACATAATTATAGGTTCACTACACTTGAAATATGTAAAAAAAAAGTGCATATAGACAAAAAATAGAAGGGAACGTGAAATATATGAAACTAAGTTGTGTTTAGGGAGTAGGATTAAGGTGTTTATTTTTCTACTTTAAAACTTATTTAAAAAATAAAAATAATCAGGCTCTCTGCTCAGTGGGGAGCCTGCTTTCCCCTCTCTCTCTGCCTCCCTCTCTGCCTACTTGTGATCTCTGTCTGTCAAATAAATAAATAAAATCTTTTAAGAAAAAAATAAAAATAAAAAAGGGGCACCTGTGTGGCTCCATCGATTAAGCATCTGACTCTTGATCTCAGCTCGGGTCTTGATCTCAGGGTTGTGAGCTCAAGCCCCAAATTGGACTCCACACTGGGTGTAGAACCTACTGTAAAAAAAAAAAAACAAATAAATACAAATAAAAAATACAAGTTATTTTAATGGTATCATATTATAATTTTTACAAAACTGAAAAAAGAAAATCTCAATGCTTTCTGACTCATCTCTCCAACAATCTGCCTTATTAGTTTTCAAAGTGTGCTCCTAAAATGCTCTTTACACAGCAGGCTGACAGCAAGCTGTCAGTGCTTTGGTGAGATCAGCTTGGGTTCAATTTTACTGCATCAATTTAAATGTCCTCTGTTATGAACAACAGCTTGTTCTGACCATAAAATAGACCAGAAAGGAAGGGCACCTGGCTGGCTCAGTCAGTAGAGCATACGACTCTTGATCTCAAGGTCATGCTGGGTGTACAGTTTACTTTAAAACTTTTTAAATTAAAAAAGGTAAGAAAGGTAAGTATAGAAATGTGTAAAATGTATAGAAAAGGCTCTGGAGGATGAAGCCATCTGTGAAATAACAGGGATAGTTTAACCAAGGCTGTGGCAAGAAATGACAGTTTAAGCCAGGAAGGAAAATTGCCAGTTTCAGACAGAAGAAAAGACTATTAAATAAGCTAATTTTACTAGGGAGCAAATATCTCCGGAATTAGAGTGTTCATGAGTACAGTTAATGTTGTTTAGACTCTAAGGATTCTTGGATGAAAACAAAGGTAATTATCCTACCGTTCATGTGATCGTCGGTGTGGTATCCCATTGACTGCACCCTGAAAAGGATTTTGAGCTTCATACACATTTTTTTCTGATTTTTAATGGAGTCCAAATAGTTGGCACATAGGAATTCCTGTTATAATCTTTATACTCTAGTGTAAAGAACTACTGGCACCCTCTCACTCATCCGTGCCAATAAAAATTTCTTATTCCTACCATGTTGGACTCCCAACTTCTCTATCCTCTACTCATTCTCATCCCCATATTCAGGGCCCCAGGATCTTGAGCCCTTGTCTGTCTTCCTGAAGGAATATTGTTTACCTTCAGCTCTAGTGCTTGAGAATCCTGCTCTAGGTTTTTCCCCGCCCACTCCTTGTCCTTTTCCTCCTCAGAGAATGGGGGAAGTAGTAGGCACCAGAGAAGATTGTGACATAGGCCCCACAAGTTAATAGGTGTTTTCACAGCTATTTAAAAGTCTCATACCCTTCACATGTGTCAAGCCTTAGAATTCACAGAAGCAGCATTGAGTGGACCACTCCTTACTCCTCCGTGTTACAAAGCTACTTAGTTAACTTGTCCTAATGCAGTTGCCTCTCCACCTTCTTATCCCCAACTTCTTGTGAATTTCCTGACAATATCATTTGCAATAGTTTCTTTTTAAAGCACAGAGATCAGTTCTTTCTAGTTTTTCCCCAAATTTCCTAGTCAACTGGAAAGAAATTTTTTTATGAGATTCTGTCTGCTTTGCTCCTATCATGCCCGAGCCACCCCCCCCCCCATTATCTTTTCATACCCCTACCCCCTCATTGCTTCAGAAAGGAGCAAATTTGGAGCTGGCCTCATTCCAGAATTCTGAAAAAGATACCAGGTACTTTGGAAGAGCAGAAACTCTTTCCAACCCTTTAGGATTGGGAAGAGGTATCCAGAGGAAAGAGAAAATCTTTACAGACAGAGCTACCTGATATGCATGAAAACCTATACTGAGAGCATCTCTTCGAGGTCAGAAAGGGATTTCCCTCCTCATTGAAACTGCAAGGTTTGGATGTGACCCTGAGTCCCATCCTTGTCTACTTTTTAGAATGGGATCTGGATTTGAAACCAACTGAGAGCTCACACCAATCCACTAGCCAGAGACAGGATGGCTGGGGTGCCCGAAGATGGGAGGAGCTCCTGTGCCCAGCCCCAGAGGCCTCAAGGGCTCAGAGGCCCACTCAGATTGTGCCCAAGAGCAAGATAGAGGAACTGGGGTGAGCAAGCACTGTGGCTTTGTCTGTTTCCTGTTTCAGCAAAGGCTGCTGTGCAAAAAGAAAGACCGTACTAACAAGGGAAACGCTAAGGGGGCCCGGAGCCACGGATTGAGAGCTTGCACTTTACTCAGCTGCTGTCCTGCCCCATCTGAGACCAGAGCCACGATCTGCCCAGGAGCTGGAATGCTCTTCTGAGTTGTTTGGTTTGGAGCCTGGGACCCAAGGTAACTGAGAAGGAGGATGCTTTTGTGTCCAGGTTGGGGACCTCTGACTCTGGGGCAGGGAAAATGATCCGTCACCCAAGCTTCCCTAGGCTGAAGGGGGAGACACAGAAGTAGATGAGTTAGTTTAAGAGTGTTGGGGGTGGGGTAAGGAGGAAAGCGTCCTGCGATGGTTCCGGGAAGCACCAGGCGTGGCCCACGGATACAGCTTTGAACGCTCCTCGGCTCTGTCCGTTAGATTGGATTAGGAGTGAGTCAAATGACTTAGGGTCCCAGCTTGCCAGTGATGGGCATGAATTAAACGACCTTTTACGGTTGTCTTCAAAGCAGGAGTCCCCAAAACGACACGCTGCCTTTCCGCGGCTTCTGTGCAGGCCCCTCTCTCCTAAGCTCACACTGGGAGCTGTGCCCCGGGCGGCCAGACCTATGCGGGAAGCCCCTCACTGCACACACAGACAGGAAGCAGGAGCAGTCTTGGAAAGGCGGCGACAAACCACTGTCAGGTGAGGGCAGCACCCTGACCTCTCCCTGTGGCAGGACGCCCTGAGCCTGTATCACCTCCTCTCCAAGCTCCACATGGGCCCTGTCATGCTGCCAGATGCCAGAAAGCCTGGGCAGCGGCCCAGTGACCTTTCTTTGAACCACACAGGGACCAGTTCCCTTTTCGTCCGCAGCCCATCCCTGTCACTCAGCCATCCCACACGGCTTCTTGTGTTTAAGCAAATCAGAACAGTCAAGACATCCCTGAAAGCTGGACGGGATTCCACTCAGCTGTGTGCACCTAATCCTATGGGGGTGGGGGTGGGGGGTCTGGGAATGCTCCGTTCTGTAAGGAGCCATTTATACTGAAAGACTCTGCCTGGGTAGCCGGTCCCGGGGTCTGCCCCTCAGGCCACCCCACATTGTCCGCGGACTGGTGCACTGGTGTCCACGACCTGGCAGAATCTGGAAAGACATCTCAGGCTCCGGCTCCTCCCCCACAGCCCTTTCCTTCCCACGGCAGGGAGGTAGGAGGATTCTCCATAATTACTGGCTTTGCCTCCCCTGCAAAGCCCTCGGATTCCCTGGAGCCAAATAGGGAGGGGACCCAGTGGCCCACGTTTTAATGGTGGGAAGCAGATGGCTGGACATGGATTCTGCACCCCACCTCTTCTTTGCTTTTCTGCGGGGCCTAATTGAGATGGCAGCTGTGCCCAGATCACAGTGGCCCACACCCAGATGAACCAGAGCTGTACATATGATTTCAACCGGAGACCACATCCCCTCCATGTGTAAACAGCACCCCTTCCAAGAGAAGAGAGTGGGGGACAGAGGGATGAGGCATTCTTGATCCTGGAGTCTAGCTGGAGGCCTCGGTCTTACAGCACCAAGTCTTTAAGAGCCAGGATCAGCAAGACCGGGGTAATAATAATCCTACTTCAGTATTGTAAAAACCTAACGTTTATTGTGTGTTATGTGCCGGATGCTCGATGGGCATTTTTTTTTCTTTAATTCTTACAAGCTTACAAGGGAGGTTGTGGTCCTATTTTATAAATGAAAAAACTAAGACTAAGAGATGGTTAATAGCTTGTCCAAAAGCACAGAGGTAGTAGGAGAGCCAAGATATGAACCCACACAGCCAGGAGCCAGGGCTCTCAGCTGCCCCCATCTAAGGCAGAGTAGCCAGGGGCCGTGGCTTAAGCTACTACAAGGTAGATTCTGGATGTGGAGCTCACCTGTACACAATCATTCAGTCATTCACAACTCAATACCAATGGGCCTTTTGGATCCTGTTCTGTTTTTAAATAACAGAAGTGGCAGGTGGGAAGTCAGGGAACTCTACAGGGTAGGAATGAGGAGAAAAGCCTAAAGAAAGGGGAGAGCTCCCCAGGGATGGGATGAGAGGAAAGCACTGACAACTTCACAATTCTGCCTGGGGCCTGCACTGCCCAAGGCCAGAGCGATGCCCCTCCAGCCCTCCAGAGTCAGGCATTTGGGAGAATGCCTGGCTTGACCTTATAAGACCCTCTCCTGGAGTGAGACCGCCTCACCCATGAATGGCCCCAGGGCATGAGTGGTCTGATCAGAGGGAGAGTAAGAATCCTGCAGAGAATTCTGGACTGAGCCAGATGGGTAGCAAAGTTCCAATGAAAGGGCAGAGAGGCTGCTACCTGTTGAGTCTGTTTGGCTTATAAATAAACTCAAGGGGCCAGAGCTGGAGATTGCCTGCTGACCAGTGAAGCTGAGATGCCCTCTCTCACCTATCCAGGAACTGGGTTCCCCGGCTGGTGGGTGATGACACTATGGGATAGAGAAGAGAAGCAGAAGCTGGAAGGGGGAGTCCCTCTTCCTTCATCATCCACTGGGCTTGACTCCAGCGATCAGTGGAGGCAGGGCACGGAATTTCCTGTGCTCAGAATCTGGCTCAGCCAGCTCCAGCCCCAACTCAGCCAAGCTACCAGAGGGTTCTAGGAGAAGAAACAAATGTGCAGAAGGTAGGTGACAGAGAGTGGGAAAGAGAGAGAAGAGCGCAGAGAAGAAAGAAGAGGCAGCAAGTATGGCTTCTACACCAAGCCTGGTTCCCTGGGGACTTGGAGTGACTGTTTTCATTTGTTTCCTTTCTGTTTATAATAGCCTTACTGAGGTATCATTTGCATGGTTGCTGGTTTTGATGGCACGATCTCTGTTTGGGCTAAGGAGAGCAGACCTGGCAGCATACTTAGCCCTAACAGGGAGGAGATTCTAAAACATGGAAACTTCAGCTTGGAGAGTTACTGAGCTGGAGGCTCTGAAATGTTTTGGTCAACACTGGGCAGTAGGCAGGTACTCAGCCAATACTGGTTTGAGCTGATGTGCTCCAGGTCAGAGCCCAGTCCTGGGCCAGGAGTGGGTACCAACGGACCAATGTCAGGACTCCATGACTAGAGGAGTTAGTGTGAGGTTTCCCTCCTAAACCACACCCAAAACCGGACTCAGAAGCTAGTTATTAAGGGCTAAGAAGATAGCAGTGAGTCACAGGACAGGCCCCAATTTGGGGGGCCTGGTTATCTCTCCAAGCCTTGAGAAGAGTCACTCATCTATTTTAGCATCAGCTTGGGCCAAGAGAGCATAAAGATGCTGGCTTTCCTTCTAGATTGGAGAACAGGAAGCCAGTTTACCTGGTTCTCTAGAAGTCTCTGGAAAATGAACACATCCCTACCTGCCATCCAAATTTCATCAATTTCCATGTCAATTTTCATCAATTATTTCTCAGATTCCCCTGACTCAGAGGGAGGGTGAGGTCAAGGAAGGTCAAGGAAGAAGTGGTAGCCAAAGAGATCTTTCTGCTTTGCAGAGGGGGAAACATAGGCGAGAGGAAAGCAAAAGTTACAGGTGCCAGGTATGGCCTGGACCCAGGAGTCCTGACTCCCAGTTCAACACCATCACCTTGTCCGTTTTCAACCCACATGCAGGGGGAGGCTATGCTATTTCCGCCCCTGGTCCAGGGAGACCGTCATTTTCTGCCCATCTTCTGACCCCTCCCCTTCTCCTCCCTCTTGGCATTTGGCAGACCCAGGGAGCTATTCCAGGAACTGGAAGCCAAACGCAACAGGTGCTCAGGAGGTCATCATGATCAGCCTGGACCCCAGGCCTTCCCCTCGCTTGGCCCGGTGGGCTGAGAGCTACGAGGCCAAGTGTGAGCGCCGGCAAGAGACCCGTGAGAGCCGCCGCTGCCGCCCCAATGTGACCACTTGCCGCCAGGTGGGGAAGGCACTGAGGCTCCAGCAAAGAGAGCAGCTCCAGAGAGCACGGCAACGGGAGTTCTTCAGGAGGAGGAACTTGGAGGTGGAGGAGAAAGGCAAGGCCCAGAGCCCCAGGGCCAAGGAGCGAGGTCCCTCCAGGAGGCCAGGCCAGCCAACTGACCTCAAAGAACCCTTGTCTGGGGCCCACAGAATCTCTTCCCCCCAGCAGCAGGTGGGTCATGTCGGGGGACACGCTGCTCTGGACAGGGGCAGGGGTACTATGGCACGCGGGTGGGCTCAGACTCACTGAAAAGGAAATTTAAATTAAGTTCCTGCTTCCTCAGTAATAGAGTCACCTCCCTGAGCCACTTAGACTCATTCAGGGACTTTCGCTGTTTGGGTTTTTATTTGTTTGTTCAGCTGTTTTTTTGTTTTGTACTTGCCTCTTTTTCTTCCTTAAAGAAGAAAAAAAATGTAAACAACGCCATTGCTAACTCCTAGTTATCTGTTCAAATTTAGGCGGTCTATACATATATCGTTCAACACATATTTACAGAGTGCTTACTGTATGCCAGGTACACAGGCCCATCTTCTTGATGCCCCCTCTCAGGAACACACACACACACACACACACACACACACACACACACACCCCTGTCCTCTCTTCTTCTGTGAGGCTGTTGCACCCACCTACCTTTCCCCTTCCACTTGGACCGTTCCATTTGTACTAAATTCATTCAACGAAAGCTTCATGTGGTCCAGTAAGCTTTCCCTGGCTTCCTCAGGCCACTTCTGCTCTCTGTGGTCCTTATGAGGTTATAAATCCTCTAAGATTGTGTAATAATACTTCGAGAACCCATCGTTCTGGCCTAGGAAGGAGCAGTGCTGGCAGAAATCAGGGTCTGCTGAGGCGATCTAAGCCAGCCAGCCATCTGTGTCTTCTATCCATGTTGTGTGCCTGTTGACAGCGGGGACGGGTCCGCCGTATTCCCTGGAAGTACCTGGCCTAGTTCCATACCCAGACTAGAAGTTCAGTCGGGGTTTCTTAACTAATGGATCTATCATCCACAACAGAAGGTCCTGTTCAGAAAAACGATCCTTGAGCCTGATTATGAAATAAAACCAAATGTGTAGTTTCTACGGCAAGGAGGTTTCTGTTCTTTTTTTGCTTGCTTTTCGTTTAAAAAACTTTTTTTTTTTAAAGAAGAGAAAGAACAAACACACGTAACTAAAGAATTTCACTTAAGCCTATCAGTTACTGAAGTTTTACTGCGGTGGAGTCAGTCTGCATGACTGGCCACCATAGGCATTCCTTAGCCTTTTGGTGTTGTTACAACCATAGAATTTTTGAGTGTGTATGTAGAAGATATTTTGAGTGTGTATGTAGAAGATATAAAAAAAAAGAAGATGTGGACTAGATGGTGACAACTGCTACTAGACCCCTCCCAGCACATCCCTGCTCTTCACAAAAACCTCAGCAGTATTCCATCCATCCCTGAGAGGAAGGAAGCCTCCTCTTGCATATGGAAGGGACCTCAGAGACCGCCTACATCACGTAGATTCATTACATGGACAGGAGACTGAGACCACGTAGAAAGGGCAGGGTCTGACCCCAGACGCCTTCACTCTCAGACCAGTTCTCTCTCCACATCACTGTGGGCAGCATAAGTGACCGAAACAAACAAAGTAGACAGGGATTCCAAAGAAAGTAAGGAGAGTCAAGCCCTGCTCCCTCTTTGCCTGGCCTGGGAAGGATAATTCCCACCAGCTAGGATGAGAGAGGGCAGGAGCAGGGACAACTTAGTATACTGTTTTCAAGGTTTGAATGGGTTGTTTTGGTGTTCTAGACTGGAAATTGATCACGGGTTCATCTTTCTGCAGTTAGCTGGAGAATCATGCTCTAAGAGGCTCTAAGCTTTCAGCATCCCCCACTTGCTTTCCAGGTGTCAGACACCAGCCCTGAGATCTTTCGAACCCAGCGTCACCATCCCTCAGGCACCTGGAGGGATCTACCTGACCGCCTCTCCCAGGCCAGGGACTTTTCACCGAAGGACTCTCCCACCAAAAAACCACCCCAGCACCATCGCGGTAAGAGCAGAGCCTCCCTCACTCACTGGGGCCTGCAGAGAACCTTGCTACAGCAGGCTCAGCTTGCTGACAGTGGACAGCCCCTGTCCCTTCCCACTTCCTCCTCCATGGCTTCTGAATCGCCTTATCTTCTATTGCTCAGGCACTCAGACAAAGGCTGAAGCAGCCCAGCCAACAATTAAGAATGATGCCAGTCAGCAAACCAAGTGAGTACCTTCTCCGTTCCTGCCCCCAGCTTCCTCATACACCGCCATTCCTCTCGTCTACGCTTTGTTGAAACTCTCACCACCACCGCCACTCGCTCCCCCATGTGGAGAAGGAGCACAGTGAACTTCCATGTCCTCCTTAATTGAGAGAAAGGAAGACCTGCCCCACCCTGTTGGCTCTCAGAAGAGACTGGAAAAGGAATCTACCCACCTCTCCCCAAGTGCTTGTTTCTCTGATCCATTGTCATTTCTGTTTTCATTTCTTCTCTTCTCAGTTACGGAGTTGCGGTTCTGGATAAGGTAAGAAAATCCTCACTTTGAAGGGTTGACTCAGATGGTATCTCAGCTCCTCCAAGATCTGACATTCTGGAATTCCCTGGTAAACACAGCTAGGATGAAGGGGCACCTTCTTCCTGGACAAGCACAGACATGGGGACCTGGAGGGACTCTGTCTGAGCCAAGGAACAACATTTACTTGACACAAGTCAGTCCTGGCTCTGGTTCTGTGTTCCAGGATTTCAGAGGACATAGAATCTTCTAGAATACCCCTTTTCTTTCTCTCTAGGAAATCATCCAACTTTCTGAGTACCTCAAAGTAAGTAACATGTGAGCTCTCCCCTCAGCTCTTTCCCCACCTGCTCCCTCCTCCTCAGGTTAATGTCCCTTCTTGTGTTTTGCCCCTCAGGAGGCCTTACAAAGGGAGCTGGTTCTAAAACAGAAAATGGTGATTCTCCAAGACCTACTCTCCACTCTGATAAGGGCCTCTGACAGCTCTTGGAAGGTAAGGGAATGAAATCTTTATTTGAACAAAGCTCGTGAGTTTCTGTTCCTTTTTCCATATGATCCCAGCAAGGGAAGAGGTTTTCTCACTACTGAAGAGATGAGGTGGGAGGCGCTAAGACCTAGAGGTCAGACATGTCACAGTAACTATATGGGAGAGCTCAGCTAAATCCACAGTCATGAGCTGGGGTCACAGTACTCCACACCCAGGAAAGACCCAGAACCAAAACTGGCAAGAATTCCCATGGCTCAATTTGTTGGGAGAAAAGAAGGAAGATGCCCGTATATTTGCTATTACTGGTTATGGTAAATGCTAACTTCTTTTTTTGTATGGGATTCACTCCAATATTAACTGTGAGCAACCGTGTACCTACTAATCAGCTTAGACATCAAGGTCAAAGTGAGAAGCGATTTTAGAGATCATGTAGTCTGTTTTCTTCTTTCACCAATGAGGAAACTGTGTGTCAGAGAGGTCAAGTGACTTGCCTAAAGTCACATTGCTAGCTAGAGGCAGAACTGGAACTAAAATTCAGACCTCCTTAATTTAGTCCATTCATTCAACAAATATTCATAGATCATGTTCTCCGTACTGAGCACTGGAAATCATGAGATTAATTAGTCAGGGTCCCTGCTTTCAGAGAGCTGTGGTTTTGGCAGGGAAACAGATACCTAAACAATGCAGAGATATGAGAAATGAAATAAGAGAAATGTTTTTGGGATATAATAGTACACAAGAAGGAAGGAATGACTCCAAAGAAGAGGAGAACCAGGGAAATATTTGTAGTTACATTAAGTGTTTTCCAGACTAACGTGGAAGCAGGAACTACATTCTAGGCTGGGGATACAACACAAGCAAAGACCTAGAGGCGTGCTATGGTCTAATGCGATGGGTTTCCTACTTTTTAATCTCAAGACTGCTTTATACTCTTAAAAAAGTTTATTAAAAACCCCAAAGAATTTTTTATATTTACCCTATAAGGATTTACCTTATGAGCAATGAAAACAGGAATCTTAAAATGTATATAAATTTTAAAATAACAACAATAAGCTCATTACACGTGAACCTAATTTACATATTTTTATGAAAAATGAGTATGTTTTTCCAAAAAATAGTGAGGGGTGTAGCACTGTTTTACACTTTGGCAAATCTTTTTAAAGTCTGAAAAGAAGACTGCTCGATTCTCCTATTTCCATCTGTTGTAATACACTGTTTTGACTGAAGTATATGTAGGAAAATCCAGACTCACACAGATACATAGATGAAAAGGGAAGAACCTTACCGAACCTGTGAAAGGGTCTCAGGGACTCCCAGGGGTCCTTAGACCCCATAGTGAAACCCTCTAGACTATGCTATTCCGGGAGCTACGCCACTGGAGCAAAGAGCAGGGCAGACAAAGAGAAAGCACAACCTCACAGGCCTCCATGAACACCTAACCCTCCAGCACAGAGGACTTGTCTTTAGACAGAGAGATGGGCTGGGAGGGTGTGGATCAAAACCAAGAAGTTGACAGTGATGTAAAAGAGACTTCCTCAGTTCAGGCCTCCTTCCTCACATGTCATTGTACCAGGATTTAGTGTCTATGCTCAGGGCTCCTGATTGTCAAGGAAGTCATTGTCTTGGGCAGAGCAGGAGCCTGGACAGACAGCTGTGCATGCCAGGTGGTTTCCGGTGCTGAACTAATTTGAGATCATCGCCCTCATCTATGCAGCAGGCATTTGATAAGTTTCAACTGTGTGCTGAGCCCCATGCTACAGGGACAAAAAGAAGTAGGGTTCTTGCTCTTGAGGAGGTCACCTATCAACCAGGAAGAGAGAGACGTGTAGTAAATAACCCGAATGCAGCTTATGATAAAGCTGTAACAGTGGTTTCTAAAACGGGATGCAGAGGAAAGAGAAGGAAGCAATTATTCTGCCTGAAGTGGAACAGGGTAGGCTCCAAAGGAGAGGGACCATTTGAGCCAGGTCTGGAAGGATGCGTCATTTACTGGTTACAGCAGTACAAATGATAATGGGGAAGAAAAAACAGAAAGAAAGGGGTGTTTATGGTAAAGAAATCAGAATGATTATAGGCCTCTGTGTAACAAAGTGGCTGAAATGAAGGGATGGAGGCAGAGGAGTTCCAAAGGTAAGACCAGGAGGGGTTTCAGACAGGTCTCTGGAATTATGGAGTTTCCTGTTGGACAGGGGATCTCAAACTTTAATAATGCAGAGACTCTTTCCTAAATGAAAGGCATATGTATCACAGACCTAGGAGAACACATGCCAACCCCAGTCTGAGAAACTCTGCTCCAGGCAAGCGGCAGGGGAGCAACGGGAGGACTCAGTATGTGGGTTTAAAGTCGGATACTGAGCAACATTTGGCCCATCCTCCCAAGGAGCTCAGTCAATAGCTGGGGAGCTGTGCTCACTTGGGCAATATACATGCTAAAAAGTCAAGGAAGTGAGGCAAAAACGATTGGATCTGCGTTTTGGAAGTATCTCCGACGACAATGGGGACTGTGGCTCTGGGTGGGTGTGGAAGTGGCCAAAGCTGGGGCAACATCCCAGGTAAGCCACACTCAGAGCGCGAGTAGTGGCAAGCTTGGCGGGAATGGGAGACATTTCCAAGGTCACCTCTGGAGCAGTTTCACTCCACAATGGGCACGCGAGCGGAAGTTCCTCTGGTTGTGGTTTTCTCCCACCCCTCCCTATACGCACCCTTCTATTCTTCCTCCTCCCCACCAACCCCCTAGCTTCCTGTTTTTCACAAAAATAGTCAGTTAAGAGCTCTTGTTTCCCCCAAAACAAAATAATCCAACCCTCCACCCTTGCCATGGAAGCCCCAACTGCTGCTGAAGGACAAGCCCGGACTATGGTATTGGGAAAACTAATTGGAAGAATGTGACCAAAATAGGGACTGACATTCAGCCCAGTTCAGGCCTTTATTTTTCCCATTTGGCCCCTGTGATTTTACTCTCTAACTTCACATGCATGGAAGCTCACCACAAACTCTGAGAGAACCCCAAGAATGAGCTCCCTGCATTGCCTCCACCTCAAAGCTGACTCTGGGGCTGCTGGAGGTGATGGGGCCTGGGGCACTGCTGAGACTCTAGAGCTGGGTCCACCCTTCAGAGCAGACACAATTCGGGCAATAGAGAAAGCAAGCTGGCAGTGTTGGGCAATACAAAACAAGAGCAGGGCACACTGGGGTTTTAAGTTCTGCAAAGTGGAAACGAGATCTTGAGATGACAGCACCACGGGGGATTGGCTGGGAGCCCTAAGCAACCCCTGCTAGAGCAGAGATGAGCTGTGGGCTGGCGCTTCTGCGGTGAGGTGGTGGTGTTTCTGGAGAACAGATCAGAGGCTGGGGAAAGCCAAGCAGAAGCAGGAGCTGAAGACCTCAGACCAGCACCAGGTGTGTATGGCCTCCATCTTGCTCCCTTTTCCAACCAGGGGTACTGTGCTCTCTGAGCCCTGGGTTCCCAGGTGGGGGGGCGGTTGCCCAGAAAACATCCACAATGGGCCTGTAAAGAGTGCTTCTTCCCACATACTGTACCACTGGGCTTGATGGGGCGGGAGCATGTGTGGCAAGGGGACTGAGGCTCAGACCAGGAAACTATATGCCCCATTTGCAACAACTTGGCTACAGCTTTCTTCCCTGCCTCAGGGAGCCTGAGAAGGTTGAGCTGTGGATAAGAGATTTTTTCTTTTCCAAGCCCCAGACTTGGGTGGTCCTTCATCCCCACTGAAGGCGCTCTCCTCAACTGTCTTCTATTTCACCGTGAATGGAAAAGTAATCTGGAGTATATCTAAAATGCAGAAACAGTTGGGAGAGGCAAAATGTTGGATTAAAACCATAGTAAGGAAGGAGAGAGGAGCTACCCCAAAAGGGTAGGAGATAGGGGGAAAATATAAGGATATTGCTCTGGGCTTGTCTGCTTTCTTCTCAAACTACAGCAAGATAAACGTTAAACTCAGTGGGTTTCATTACATTTTGCCATAGCCAGGAGTTTAGGCACAAGGAAAATGCAGAGATCTGAACCAGGAAATGGGGGTGCAGAAGGAGCTGATTTCAGGACCGGTGGATTGATAGTGAACAGGTCACTCAGGGAAATACAGCCCTTTTACCAGTTAGTCCAAAGCCCAGAACAATGAAAGTCTTTGTCCATCTCTTTTATCTGTCCCAAAGCCCTGTGGCTACTGGAGATGCCAAATCCTGGACTCTCAGCTCTCACATGAGACATTATGAAAAACATTAATAGCAGGAGGCACTTTGAAAAATTATTTTTGGCAAAGCTTTTTGCTTTTGCAAAGCCCAGCTGAGTAATACAGGAAGCAGAAAGGGTGGGGGCGCCCCCTGGCTCCCAGGGCTAGAAGAATCAGCCAAACAAGATCAAAACAGGAGCTGTGAGATACCACTTCCTGCCTCCCCCAGGTGCCCTGAAACTCACTGAAGGGGACAGACCTCAAAACAGAGGCCCCTCCTCTGCACACAGGCCACTGTAGACCAGAAACATCACGAGGGTTCCAAACACCCAAGCTGCCTGACTGAGAGGGGTTGTGGCATCTCAGGCTTGGAGAGAAATGTAATTTGTAGACCTCACAAGTGTCTCACAGGGTCTGGTTGGAAAAAGCCGGAGAAAAGGATATGAAAATCAGAGTTCCTGATAGAGACCCACAGCCTTTCCTCTAGGAAACCGGTTCTCTCATCGATGGCACCCTCCTCTCTCCCCAAACCCCTCATACAGACAACCTTAAGTCAGACTCAGAGATGGAAGAACAAAACCCTGCCCTTGGAGAAAGGGAGACCACTACTGGTGGAGGAAAGAACAAAGCAGCAAGGAGATTGTTAGCCACTCAGCAGAAAGACTGAAAAACTGAGAAAAAGATAAGGCTCTTCCAGCCTGCCTTTCTCTACCCTCACCCTCGAGATTAGCATCTCTCTTGGGAAGTCCAAAATGGTATTAAGCCAACCCTGCTTTTGAATACCTAGAACCGCTGCTTATGAATACCTAGAACGTGGCTTTTGGGGAAGCCCTTCTACCACCACCACCACCACTCCCCACATACACACACCCTGTCTTGATATCTCTCCTCCATTTCCTGCTTTCTTAAAGAATTTCTTGGGATACCTGGATGGCTTAGTTGGTTGAGCGGCTGCCTTCGGCTCAGGTCATGATCCTAGGGTCCAGGGATCCAGTCCTGCATCTGGCTCCTTGCTTAGCGGGGAACCTGCTTCTCCTGCCTGCTCTGCCTGCTGCTCACCCTGCTTGTGCACTCTCTCTCTCTGACAAATAAATTCTCTAAAAAAAGGAAAAAAAATTCTCATTTTTTTTAAGATTTTATTTTTATTTATTTATTTGACAGAGATCACAAGTAGGCAGAAAGGCAGGCAGAGACAGAGAGAGAGGAGGAAGCAGGCTCCTTGCTGAGCAGAGAGCCTGATGTGGGGCTCGATCCCAGATCTGAGCCGAAGGCAGAGGCTTTAATCCACTGAGCCACCCAGGCGCCCCTTCTCATCTTTTTTTAAAAAGATATTTTTGTATTTATTTGAGAGAGAGCATGAGTGGGGGAGGGGGAGGGGCAGGAAGAAGGGGAGGAGCCAAGAGAGAAGCAGACTCCCAGCTGAGCAAGGAGCCCTGTGGAAGGCTTGATCCCAGGACCCCGAGATCATGACCTGAACCATAGGCAGGTGCTCAACCAACTGAGCCACCCAGGCCCACAGCTCTCATCTTGAGCCCAGTGTGTATGTGTGTGTGTGTGTGTGTGTGTTGGGAGAAGGGGGTTAGGTATTTGTTAGGGTTGCTATAACAAAATACCACAGCCTGGGTGGCTTAACCAACAAAATTTATTTTCTCACAATTCTGGAAGCTAAAAGTCTAAAATCAAGGCGTTGACAGGGTTGGTTTCTCATGAGGCCTCTCTCCTTGGCTTACAGATGGCTGTCTTCTCCTGTGTCTTCACATGGTGTTCTGTTCTCTTCTTATGAGGACAGCAGGCATATTGGATTAGAGCTCACCCTAATGACCTATTTGAACTTAACTATCTTTTTCTTTTTTAAGAGAGAGAAAGAGAAAAAGCAGGGTGGGGGGAAGGGAGGGACAGAGAGAGAAAGAAAGAGTGAGAATCTCAAGCCGACTCCATGCTGAGCAGGCAGCCTGATATGGGGCTTGATCCCACAACCCCACGATCATGACCTGAGCCAAAATCAAGAGCTGGACACTCAATAGACTGAGCCACCAGGTGTCCCTTAACTTAGTTATCTCTTTAAAGGCCTTATTTCCAAATACAGTCACATTCTGAGGTGCTGGGAGTTAAGATGTTAACATATAAACTTGGGGGGAAGGTAGTAGAGGGGGCAGACACAATTCAGCCCATGACAGGGGTAAAGAAGGGAATATGGAGACTCGTTTAGTCTTATTGGCCTATACTTTAGAAGTAAAGGTCCATGTATAAAACTAAGAGGAGATGAGGAATATAGAAGTGCCTAGACAGACAAGGGAGAGAGATAAGGAGGAAAGAAGAAGAGAGCTTAGATTTCCCTCAAGGGAACTCCTACTATGATATCCTGAACCACTGGATAGAGAACCTCAAGGTACAGAGAGGACTTGGGGCCAGTCCAATTCTTCCTTCTCCTATTTCAGAGAAAGAGGAAATGATCCTCTTCTAGTCAAACATCCTTTGTCATCTTTCCTCCTCCCTACATCCTGAAAGTGTTCAATTTCACAAACATCACTTGAGCACAGACCACATTCTAGGCAGTAAGCTGGAAAAACAGAAGAAAACTCTGCATGTCATATTTTGGCCCAAACTCATTAACTCATCCCCTTTGCTCCAGGGCCAGCTTAACGAAGACAAATTGAAGGGCAAACTGAGATCTTTAGAAAACCAGCTGAACGCCTGTACCCAGGTAAGCTTTCTTAAGACATTTCCAGCCCAGGAATTTAGAATTAAAGGAGAATGCTTGAGCCTCGATCCTACTCTCTGGAAATGACACCTGATAGAGCTGAAAGCACCCATTCCTACTCACTTGGTTCTGGCTTTGCCATTTTCACTTTGGTCCCCAACCCAGCTCTTCTCCCTTTTTCCTAGAGTTCTTCCCTTTGCACCCTGAGAAGCAACCGCAGCATCAAGGACTCTGCCAGCACCGGGGGGATCTTAGGAATACCTGGAACTGTAGGGAGAGGCCCTAGTAAAGATGCTCATTGCTCAGATAGACCTTCAAAGGTCCCAATGTTTGAACAGACAAACTGGATATTGTAACAAAGTCCTACAAAATGATTTCCATTCCATGGGCAACTTCAGTCTAGTAGCAGTCTCTGGGAGAAAGTAAAAGGCCACGACTCTTGGCTTTTCTATGGCATTGTTATCCATCTTCAGTAAACTCTTGATTGGCCTGATCTTGGATTACAAGAGATAGAAAGAAATCAGCTTTCACACTGGAGAAGTGATCGACTTCTGACAGTGGTGAGATGTCAGATAAGAGAATGAGGTGGCGCATGTGGAGTTAGGGAGAGAAGATGGACCTGGCTGCACTCTTGGAGTCTTATAGGGGAACAGAGTTTATATACAGGTTTGCTGATCCACAGCTTTTAGTTTTTTCAGTATGGCCTATTTTGTCAGACTCTTAGGAACTATATGATGCCAACCATACTTATAAAATACAGACATATAATCCAGAATGCCAGGCTCTTCATTTTCAATGGGCAGGGGGTTAAAGCTGGCCAGCATGGGTAAGTCCACTAACTGGGATATACCTATGTATGACCTCCTAGATCCTGCTTCTGATGAAAATTCCAAGAACCTAAGACCCACTCACATTTAGATCCAAATTTTCAGATGATTCCAAAGCTAAATGGAAATGATTTCATATTGATCCTGAGGTCTGTACCATCTAGACTACTGTTTATTCAGTGGGATAACCCTGAGTTGACAGCAAAAGCTGCCTGCCTTCCCAAGAATCACTTAGGGAAGGGAAGACCCTAAGTGAATATACAAGGCTGTTCTTTTCTTAACTCCTGAAGCCAAGATAATTTTTTAATGCAAATATATGAATTTAAAAACATTGAGAGTACTGGAGCTACAAAGATAAAAGAGAAAAAAAAGTATGCTCTCTACCCTGAAGGAGTTTACAATTCCATAAGGGACAAAAATGAGTCAACAGAGTGGGAAGATAGAGACTTACAGAGGATACTATGTGAACACTATGAAAAGCTACCTAATCCATAATGAGTCGGGGGTGATTGGTCAAGATTTATCAGAATTTACATGATCCTTGGACAGAGTCTTGAGCATGAGTAGAGTTCAACCAGTGGAAAGGGTAGGTGAGGATGCTCTAGGCAGAAGCTACATGGACAAAGGCAAAGGCCAAAATGTACCGTGCTTAGAGAATCTGCAAATAGTTCAGTTTGGGTGGAAGTAGCATAGAATCAAAGTCTGAGCTTTCAAGTAGGAGCCATGCCAAGGAATTTGGACCTGATCCTTAGTCACTGAGAGATTTATAAAGGGAGTGACATGATCAGATTTACATTTCAGAAAGTACCCTTTAGCTTCAAGGCTTGAAGATAGAGAGAATATTGCATCGACCCATATAATAGTGTTACCAGAGTTTGAACCAAGGAAGTGCCAGGAATTATGGAGAAGACACAGATATGAGGTGTTAAAGAGGTTGATTTGACAATGTTCCATGAGCAACTGATTGGTGGGAGAAAGTGAGAGAAATCAAGGATGACTCCCTGGTCTCAGGCTTGGGAGACTGAGTGGGTAATGATGCTGGTCACCGAGATAGGCAGCCCAGGAGAAAGGAGCAGGTTGAGAAAGATTATTTTGATTTGGAAATACTGAATTTGAAGTGCTCTTGGAAGGCCTGGGGAGGTCCAACATGCCTAGAGCACCGTGTTAACCCCACTTACCTCCCTCATCACCTGGGACCCTCTCCCTGCCCACCTCAAGCCCGGAAGGAGGTCCACCAGGTTACTGGTATCTCTGCTCTGGGGGCCAGGAGCAAATTCTTTTCCTTTCTTTATCCAAGCTAAGGGGTTGGCACACAGAAGTTCAATATGTGTTTGTTGAATTGCCTGAAATTTACAGAAATACCCCCCTTGGGGAATGAAAAAGGTGTTATTGGAGATGGAAGACCAGAAAAACAACTATGAGCAGAAAGCCAAGGAGTCACTGCAGAAGGTGCTGGAGGAGAAAATGAGCGCAGAGCAGCAACTGCAGAGCACACAGGTGCAGGGATGCTGTGTACTCCTTGGGGCTGGGACCCCGGGTGGCCCTGGGCAGCATGGGAGCCAGCTGCACAACTCCCTGGAACCCCCAAGGCACCCTCTTCTTGTCTGACCACCCCCTCAGCGGTCACTGGCTCTGGCCGAGCAGAAGTGTGAAGAGTGGAGGAGCCAGTATGAAGCTCTGAAGGAGGACTGGAGGAACCTGGGGACCCAGCACAGAGAGCTGGAGAGCCAACTCCACGTGCTCCAGTCCAAACTGCAGGTACCAGGCCCTGGGGTGGGCACATGGGGAGAGAAAAGGCAGGGCTTATGGGATGAGGGGCAGTGACAGCAGGGAGGACAGAAGCTGCTGCTGGGATGGGGGTTCTCAAGGCAGCCTGACAGCATCTGGCTTTCAGTCCCCCACTCACTGCCCACTTTGTATCTGACTCACTGTTTGGGCCCTGGAATCTAATTGTGAGTTCAGCAAGGATGTTTCATGCAAATGAACTAAGTGTTCCCCGAATGATACCATCCATGAGCAAAGAGCTAGACTGGAATATTCATCAGTCTACTGTCATACTCCAACCCACTCTCTGCACCCCAAGCCAGCAGAGCATTCAGCTCAGATATGTCCACTGCTGGCACAGAACAAGCCACCCGGACATACTCAGAGGTTGAGGATTGACGAACATCCTACCATTGTCATTTTTAAGCAATTACAGTAGACTCTTGGCATTCTCAAGGGTTCCATCATTTCCAACGGGTGTTACCTGGTCAAAGTCAACTGATCTCCTAAGCCTCAGTTTCCCCATCTCCAAAAGGAGGCAAATAGTAGTAACTATGTCATAGGATTGTTGTGGGATTGAGGTAATCCATTACAAAGCACACAGCACAATGCCTGGCACAGGCCTCCATCCATAGTAGCTATTTCTCTTCATAGATTTTATTAACTTGGTTTGAAATTTTGAGGACCCACATCAAAAATTTACCTTTATCATTTTCCTGAAGCAGGAACCCGAGTAGCCAAATTAATAAACCGAAGCGTGTGTCTTATCAAAGCTGTGAACCCAGCGGGCCAATATACTATTTGCCATATCTCTCATGAAGGCCTTTTTCTTTTGAACCTTAATTTTTTCAGAAAAATGACCCTACCAAAGGAAAAAAAAAGACAGTGTTAGAATAAGAAGACAATGTGAAGACACCTAAAAAAAGAGATGATTTGGGCCTGACTCAAATGAGTCCCTTGTGAAATATCAAAAAATCTAATGCATGAGGAAAGCGCAGATGGAAGAAACAAAGAATCCCAAATGTTTCCATTTCCCTGATAACCCTCTGTCTCTAAAATTCTAGTCTTCCTCTTCCATGGGATCTGTTCCCAATCTCCACCCCAGCACTGACCTGCCTCTGTGTTGGGCCCCCCTCCTTACAGGGAGCAGACAGTAGAGACCTACAGATGAACCAGGCTCTGCGACTTCTGGAAAATGAGCACCAGGAACTGCAGGCCAAGATTGAACACCTGCAGGGGGACAGAGATCTGTACAGCTCGGATACCCTGCACCTACAAGGTACTCTTCCCCTCCAAGGCCTCTAGGAAGATGGGTGGAGAAGGCCTCAGTCTTTGGTTGGGTTTGTAATTTCATTTTACCTCGAGGGAAAGGCAGGGCTGTTTTAATCATCCCAGCCTGAAGATTTGTGCTGTGCTAGCGGGTCTGGTAGTATCAGCCAGCTCTTCCAGCCAGTCCCTCTGAGCGAGGTCACAGCACTCCCATTTCAGTCACCTGTGGCAAGCCTGCATTTCTGATTTGGAAGGGGAAGGTCAGTTGAAATGCAAGGCATACTGAAGGCATCCCACCCTAGCCTCTGCGTCAGCGTAGATGACAAAATCATGGGCAGATACAACTCTTGATTCAACCTGATGTTGTTGGGGCCAATGACATCCCAGGAGCTCAGGATCTGGTTTCCTCTCCAGAACCAGGGCGGTAGAAAAAAGAGAGGACTTCCACTTAGCACACATCAGTGGTTACGACTAACTCCCCTCCTCAGGTGTCAGGTTAAGTCTCAGGTTCATCTATTTCGATTTGCATTATTTCACTTTCAGATCAACTAAAGAGGTCAGAGGAGGAGAAACTCGCCCTGGTGGCCCAAGTACAGCAGCTGCAGGGTAAGTTCCCCTTCCAGATTCTCAGAGTAGCACAGTTGCTCTTTCTGGTGTTCCTGCCGCTCCTGCCCCACAAGAGGCATCCAAAGGAGGGGTCTGGGGCCCGGTCTTTGACGTACCCTCCACCTCTGTGCGTTTTCGGACCTTCTTGAAAAGTGAGGTCATTTACACAGCTCTTCACGAGTTAATGTTAGCCTGTCTTTTTTTCTTTTCTACTTTCCTCCTTCTGTGCCAAAGACAACCACCCAAATTTCCCCCGGATTTTCAGATTTTAAAAAACGCTGAGTTTTCTAAGGCAGTTATTTTATATACTGACAGTCATTACATACATGAGTATATCCTATAGACATCCATCGTTAGGAATGGTTCGGAAAATCAGCTCACACTACAGATGCCTCAGTCCACTTCAGAACTACCTGTTGGGGCCAAAGAGGAAAGGGGACATTTCAGGAGAAAGAAAAAAAAAAAAATGTAGGCAATGGCTGGAAAGCTGGAGAACCCAATTCAACTAATAGCTCTGTTGGCTTCCCACCACCTTAACCTAACACCCCAACAGAGAAGTTTCGTGCAATGCATGTTAAGAGTAAGGCAGCCACAAGCAGATGCCGAGCACCTATAGGGCAGGAGCTGAATGCGCAAGGAGTCAATTCAAAATCATACCCTTATTTATTCCCTACCAAGTACCAGGCACCTTAGGTGTACACACTGAGGATACAGTGCTGAACAGAACTGACACAGCTCTGTCCCTAAATGAAACTTACAATAAGGTATGGAGCTTCCGTGAACAATTAAGTACGTGTCAGGTAGTCATAGCTGCCATGGAGAAAAATAAAGCAGGTTAAAAGGGAAAACAGTTGCTATTTCATACAGGGTCATCTGGGGAAGTCTTTCTTCTAAGGTGACTTAAAGGTAAAGACATGGTAGGAAGAGATACAAGGATGATGTATTCATTAACAAAATACCACACACTGGGTGACTTAAAAAACAGTAATTTATTTTTTTCTGGAGGCTACAAGTCCAAGGTCAAGGTGTTGGCAGGGCTGATTCCTTCTGAGGATCTGTTCCAGGCCACTTTCTTTGGCTTGTAGATGGCTTTCTTCTCCCTATGTTTCTTCAGATATCTTCTATCTAGTTGTGTTGAAATTTCTCCTTTTTTTTTTTAAGATTTTATTTATTTGTGAGACAGAGAGAAAGAGAGAGAGAGAGAGAGCGAGCACAGGCAGACAGAGTGGCAGGCAGAGGCAGAGGGAGAAGCAGGCTCCCCGCCAAGCAAGGAGCCCGATGTGGGACTCGATCCCAGAACGCTGGGATCATGACCTGAGCCGAAGGCAGCCGCTCAACCAACCGAGCCACCCAGGCGTCCCAAAATTTAGGGCCCACTCTAACACCCTAAAATACTTGTAAAGAACCTTTCTCCAAATAAGGTCACATTTTAAGGCACTAGGGATTAGGACTTCCTATGAATTGGGGGAGGGGCACAATTCAACCAATAATAGCCAGGAACATCTTAAATAATTAAGGTTTGAAGCAAAGTTCTGAAAAGACACTGTGTGCAGTAGATACGCTAGTACAGACAAGTTCCTTGTGTTTTTCCACAGGTTTGCTCCAGAATCAATCCTTACAGCTTCAAGAACAGGAGAAACTCTTAACAAAGAAAGGTCAGCAAATTTACTTCCACAAATTCTAAGCTAGTGGTCTTTCTTGCCTGCCTAGAGGCAGGGGATGGACTACAGGAACTCCTGGAGTACCATACAGTTCTAGAAGTCTGTTAGGTCAGGGATCTAGGGGAGCTTTTTCAGGACTGATGATTGACTTTGAGAACACTTTAATCAGTTAGCCTCCTATCCTGAGAGGTATATAAACTGTGAAAAGAATTTCTACTCTGAAAATATACATCTGTGTTGAACATTTCAATAAATTGATTTTGAACGCAGGATTTAATGTCAATTTTTACACTTGACTTTCCAAGTCACATCCAACTCCACAAGCCCACACCATGCTGCATTCAATAATCACGTCACTCTTAGCACTCAAAAGTCTGCTGCCTTAGCTCCCTGAAAAGAATTCATCATGTATGAGGGGTTAAAGAGGGCAAGTTCCTCACTTACGCACTCCACATGGTCTTTTGTTTTCTCATCACAATCACCATGTAAAAGAGAAGGCAGAAGTTATGATACCCATAGAATGGGTAAGAAAATGAAAGTCTACGGTCATAAGAATTAAGGACACAGCTAAGACAACAATCCAGAATTTTTGTCTCCTAGTGCAGTGCTCTCTTCACCAAGACTAAGACTGCCACGTGGCTCAGAAGCCATCTTTAACCATAGGAAGATGAAGTCTAGGACAGGACAGCCATTCTCATGACTGAAATGAAGCTAGAAAGGAGAAGGGGTTAGTTATACTGAAGCGTCCAGCAAACCTACTAGAAAGATCACAAAAGAAAATGGATTAGCAAGTATTCTCTGGAAGTATCTGCCATTAAACAGGGCTAGGGATACAAAGAAAAGTAAGATGCCAACCTTCCCCTCAAGGGGCTCAAATTCCAGCTCTGTGTCAAGACTGAGCATGGTCCCAATGGGAGGAAGTAAGAGAATTCTACTCTATGCTCTCATCAGGGACAGGTCCTCCCTTGTTCCCGTTCTTCCCTTCCCCTCACTCCAGGGTTGTCTCAGTGATAGGACCCTGCCTCAGAGGTGTGGACCTCACCATCACTGAGAATCTGGCTGCTTTTTTAGATCAGGCTTTGCCTGTGTGGAGTCCAAAGCCCTCCCATTATGAAGTGGAACCTGAGGGTACAGGGAAGGAGAAAGAATGGGATTTCAGAGACCAGCTGCAAAAGAAGACTTTGCAGCTCCAGGCCAAGGAAAAGGAGGTGAGACGGTGACCTCAAGGTAGTGAGGGAATCATCCCGCAATGGTAGGGAAAACTGCTGGGAGGCAGCCAGAGAGCAAAGATTTTCAAGTTTACACAGTGACTGTATGCCAGCAGGTATTCATTTGCCTTTATAAAATGTCTTTGCTTTTGGGCTAATCTGTTGATCTTTTCCCTTCTTCATTTATACCAACTGCTATTCCAGATTTTATTAAATAATTACTTTTGTAAAGTCAACCTAAACTCAAACACATTTAATAAAACATATTAACCCCTCACACTTTGTCCTAGAGTTATCTTAAAACTTTTATAAAGTGTGCCTTTTAAATAACAAAACCCTTTCCATTTACGTACTTGGAAACACACATATCCCCAGAAGTATTCACATGCAACTCAACTAGGTCCTAGGGAAAATGTTCGTACTAAGATCACTCCCAGGTCTTTTGTGCTACAAGAACTTCATTTTTTGGTGCCCCCATTTACAAAGCACTTGCACACACACAATCGCGTGGGAGCACTGACATGTATAATACGTAATATTGTAATATGCATTATAATCATTTAAACAAACACATTCCGGAAAAACTAGGTGATACAGTCAAAACCCAAACTGAAATCTCTGAGAAAAGCTGGGAAGGGAGGATGGTGGTAACAATTCCAAAGGAATGAGGGGATGACTCACACGGGGCCCTCTCCCAGACCTGGGCTCTGTCCCAGAAGGAAATGGTGGTGATGACGTTGGTGGTGTTCTCCCCCCCAGTGCAAAGAACTGCATTCGGAGTTAGACAACCTCAGTGACGAGTATCTCTCCTGCCTGCGTAAGCTGCAGCACTGTCGAGAAGAGCTGAACCACAGCCAACAGCTGCCTCCCAGAGTAAGAGGGTCTATCCTCCCAGATCGCCCTGGATGTTGGTGGGATGGCTCCTCCTTTAGCCAAATCCTGCTGATAAAGTTTATCAGCCCGTGCCAACATCTGGCCAGCCTGTTCCATTCAACTTGGTTTACATGCTTGATAGTATAACAAGTGTCAGCAAACACAGGCTCATGCATCCAAGCCTAATTTTCATGGAATTCTTGAGCCCGAGGGGAAGACTTACTATTAGCTCAAGTATAAGTGGTGTTCTTTTAGCTTATTATGAGCTAGTGGTAAGAGTGAGGAGAGCAAAAGTACCACAGAATACAAACAAAGCATAATATAATTTTGCTGAATTATATCCCATCTTTAACTATTCTTTTTTTTTTTTTTTTTAAGATTTTATTTATTTATTTGACAGACAAAGATCACAAGCAGGCAGAGAGGCAGGCAGAGAGGAGAGGAAGCAGGATCCCCGCGGAGCAGAGAGCCCAATGTGGGGCTCCATCCCAGGACCCTGGGATCACGACCTGAGCCGAAGGCAGAGGCTTAACCCCCTGAGCCACCCAGGCGCCCCTTTCCTTAACTATTCTTATCAGTATCTAAGTTATATGGCTCTTGCTGGGTATGGTTCCCTGAGCCAGTGATCCTGGATTGGGGGGCCAGTGACCAGCAGTAAAGTGGTTTTATCCCAAAGGATGTGACCAAGTGAGAGAGACAGTGATACAAAAAGCTTTTTCTCCTCTACTGACCCAAGGTTTTCCACTGGGCTAGGATGGGAAGAAGGAAGATTATTTTTGCCTGTACCTTCTCCAACAACACATGGCCTCTTTCTCTCCCCCACCCCTCCTAACAGAGGCAATGTGGCCAATGGCTCTCGATGCTGATAGTGATGATTGCTATAGCACTGGCAGTGTTCCTGGCCAAGAAGGACAGCCTGATGATGTGACTCACCTGTGACCACTGCTTGGGTGAAAACCTGAAGCAAGAAACTCAATAAAAAACTCAGAAGGTTGATATACTTTGAAGTGTGCATTTTCCCACCTGAGATTTCTGACTTTGTTATTGTTTTTTTAACCTATTGTAAAATAAAAACTTCATCTAATAGTCTCTGTTCCTCAGAACTCTTCGTTTACTCCGGAATGACAATTCACATCACACATGTAAGACATGTGAGCATCCTCGTCTATCCTCCCTAGTCCAATTCAGTTGGTGGTATATAAACATGCGGTAAAACCCGCCTAGTCTTCTACTTTCTGGCAGACACCACCCACAAGGGCAGGTGTATTTACAGTTACCACACAAGAACATACACTTGTCCTCCACCGCCCTTCTCCACAATCTCTCTTCTTCTATCTCCTACCCAGTGGAAAAATCAGCAGATATCTCAGCAAAGTCAAGAGGACTCCTTAGTACAGAAATGGTAAATGTACAACCAATGCCGCCACCACTAATCCCATGCCCACTGCGATGTGGACAACTGATTATAGCACCACCCCCCTGCCCCCGGTGTTTTCAAGATGCTCTGAATTGGTACTTGAGATGCCATCCTTCAGCCAGAGCTGATTATTTACTGAGTACCTTCTGCATGAGAGAAGAGTTAAAGTCAGAGAGCCACTGCTGGCAGCGTGACTATCTCAGAGGAGATGCTCAGGTCGGCAAAGTCATTCTGAGTCCTACATCGAGTTCTAAGGTCCTTCTCCCAAGTATTTAGAATCTCCCTCAGGGCTGGGAACAGGCTTTCTGGGACACTAAAGGAATAGAGCAAGACGGGGGGATGACCACGAAGCCATGAGATCTGGGCAGTGAACACCCGTAGTGGGGTCAAGGCTAAGCAGTTGTCGTCTCCCTGGTTCAGACGAAAGGTATACGGAACAGGATAGCCCAGGAGGATCCCAAACACAGTACAGAGATTCCAGTCTGAGGAATGAAGTCTGCTACAGGAGACTGCCAGGGATAGGTCCCTCTGCAGCCCTTGCAAATGCACGATGATCTCAGCCATTAGGGTCTTCAAATTCTGAAGCTGGTCCAGGGAGCAAATAGAAGGGTGAGGTTGGGAGCTGGAAACATCCACAAAGGCTATGGTACCAAGCAGCACCTGCTCCAAGTGCTGACATACGTGCTCAGGACTGACAATCAAGCTGTCTTCTCCAATCTCGAAGATATGAAGTCCCTGGGTGAGGAAGCCCAGGCCCTGCAGTTCCTCCAGATAGCTCTGGAGCTCTGATGGCCCTGCACAACTGTAATCATAGAGCAGAGCTGGCTTCAGTCCCCGGGCCACAGCCAGCACCTCTCCAGCTAGGTGAAGGCAGATAGCTCGGGGTGGGCACCGTCTCTTTCCCATGCCCAAGGTCTGCTGAGCAGCTGCCACCAGCATCTGAGGACTCGGTGCTGACATGGAATCTGGAAGCAACAGCAAGCATGGCCTCCTTACCTAGCTACAGTCCCCTCCCCTGGGCCGCATCTCTGAGCTCCAGGCACTTGAGGAAGGGCCTAGAAACAAAGCAGTAGCAAGGGATTATTAACACCGGCCAATGACATACCAGCAAACCTGCCAACAGCCTTCCCCTAAGTTTTACAGCAACTTCCAAACATCTTTTTGTCCCTCCCTCTGCTTTGAAATGCTAACCCAGATCACATAAGATGGGATCGCCAATGCTGCCTGATTTCTATGGTTGACTTGGTCTTCCTTAGTCTCAAATTCATGTGTCTTTCACGCCTTATGGCTACGTTGACATTCTCTCTGAATTCTTCTCAATTTTACCTGTTGTAAACTACTTTCTCGGATTCAAACCTTAAAGAAATCGGGGAAGAGTAGTGCCAGGGCTGTCTTTGGCAAAATTCCGGGGTCTAACCCTAAAACTGCCCTTCTGAGGCAGAATTCTGGGTTCCACACGCCCTCTATCCCCTACCAACTTCCCCTTATCTTCCCGCCAACAGCTGTAAGAAAAGCGATCCGATTAATATACACTAGAATATGGACTTACAACCACTGCACCCTGGGACGTAGAAGTAGTAAATAAAGTCTTATAACTGCAAAGGGTTATACTTTTGCCGGCCCCGCTTTCCCCTTCTGACCGTCATCTACGGACCTTCGGAAGATGGGCTCACTCCAATCCCCACACGCCGTGCTGAGCATATTAGAGTGACTTGTTAAATGAGTCACAGGTCTCTCTCATACACACATACACACATACTTTCGGCTTCCACTTCCGCCGCAGGTTCGCGGGCTCAGAAGCGCCCGCCCGTTTCCTGTGAGCTGCCGAGAAAACGCCGAAACCAGAACGCTCCGCCGCAACACTGGAAATCCCTTGCAACGCGCTGGGCTCCAGGTCGGCAAAACCGGCCTACTGCGCAGGTCCAACACACGCCCTCCCGCCACTTTCCGTGACGTCATCCAGGCCTTTCGCGCACCTCGCGTTGGGACCTCCCGCCCGGCTGTGCCGGAAGTGTGGACGCCTATCGCCCGGTCCTTTCCGGCCAGACAGAAGCCGGCCGCGCCCGTCTGCGTAGGGACGGGGAGGGGCGGAAGTGCCCGAGAGAAGGCGGGACTTGGCGAAGCTAGTAGCCTGCTGCTACCCTCACGTAGCTTCGCGTCTTGTTATTAAGTCAGGGAATGCAGAGGGGGCCCTGCAGCGCAACAACAGTCTGCTTTGTCTGGAAAAGTGCGCTTTCCCCTCCAAACGAAGCTTATCTCGAGAAAGCGACATGTTTTGCAGACTGTCCTCACCTGTGAGTGGCCCTACAAAGTTAGTTGTTTACTCTGACCTGCCTAAATCCCCAATTGGAGAGGCTGAATTCCTAGAAGTGGGTGCGCAAGTGCTGTCCTGCCCAAGATTTGCCATCTCGAAGCTGGGTGTGAAGGGCATGGGCACTGTTCACTAGGAGTAAATGTGTGCCAGGCATGCTTCTGGGCGCTGGCAGTATTATTACAACGTACAAAATACACAGAAACCCCACCTTCACGGGCTCAAGTTGGAGAAATTCAGTTTTCTGGCTTCACATGAAACATTAACAGAGAGGCAGAAGCTTTTCAATCAGGCCAGTAAGAAGGACGTGTTTCACTGAAGGGTTAACACCTAAACTGCCAGCCCTAGGGCAAGAATTTCTTGAAAACGCGCAGCTGAGGAAACGGCCTAACTTTATTGTTATGTGGGCAGGACAGAGGCCAAGGGAACTGCGGGCTCGACACCGGAGGCTTCACTCCTTGCTCTACCTTGGTGGTATCTTCAGAAGGTGAAAATAGACAAGTATGGAGTTAAGATGGGGCCAGCGTGGAAGGAGGATCAGCGTGTGTGGGAGCTCCCAGTCTAACGCTGGTTTTTAGCTCAGAGGGAGTCAGAAACAGAGAATAGAAACCAATTTTAGGATTTTTTCCTTCCCCAGATTTATTTTATTTTCCCATGGTCCTTAGCAATAAATCTATAAAATGAAAGACTTATTTATTTCATTCATTTATTCTAACAACAAATACAGGTGACCCTTGAAGGACTCAGGCGGTAGGGGGTGCCCCACACAAAAGGAACTCTGAATATAACTCTTAACTCTCCCAGAACTTTACTAATAGCCTACTATTGACCAGAAGCCTTTCCAATAATATAAACAGTCAACAGATGATTTTTGTTATAGCAACATTATATACTGTATTCTTATAATAAAGTAATCTAGGGGAAAAGAAAACACTAAAAAATCATAATACATTTACAGTACTGTACTATATTTATAAAAAAAAAAAAATCTGGGTGTAAGTGGGCCTGTGCAGCTCACACCTGTGTTGTTCAAGGATCAGTTCTATTTGAGAAAATAGCATGCACCAGACACTGGCAACAGAGTCCAAGACAAATAGTCCCTACCTTCAGCAAGTTGCTAGTCAAATAGGACACAGATGCTAAGCAATTACAACGGAATTGATTATTCTGAAAAAGGAAGTATAGGATGATATGGGAACATAGAACCAGAGATCGAATTATATGGGGAAGGAACAAGCCAGATCCAACACTCGCCCTCCAAATTACCTACAGTGTTTTGTTCTGTTTAACTTTGAGCTAATCCAGTTTAGCGAGGTGGACAGAGAACAAAAAGAAGAGCTGGTGACACCATCTAATTCCCCTTCCACTCTTAAGCAAGGTGGAGGCAAGAAAGTAGACCACACCAAGAGAGTGTGTGGTGTAGCCACCAAAGCTAACAGTCTCCAAGAAAGAAAGGGCACCTGGTTTCTATCATCAGGACCAGAGAAGGAGCAGTGAGGGAGATCAGTGAACAGCCCTGCACACACTCATCCAGTGTTTTTTGGGTTTTTTTTTTTGAAAAATGTATTTATTATTGGAGAGACAGAGTGAGCGGGGGCGGGGAGAGGAAGAGGAAAAAGAGAATCTCAAGCAGACTCCCCACTGAGCATGGAGCCTGATGTGGGGCTCAATCTCATGACCCTTAGTCCAGCACTTAACCAACTGAGCCACCAGGCACTTTTCTCCCAGCATTCTGAAAACAATAAAATACATGGAAGAAACTGGGCTCTCTAGTTAAGACTACATAAAACTACTCATCCATTCCTCTGGCATCTTTGTAAACTTTTCATTACAGTTACATACAAGTTTGATCCTTCTTGGCCCTTCAGAACACAATCTTCATCACCTTTTGCCAGCTCATATTTTCTGGGCCTCCATCCAGATGGAGAGCCTGGCTATTAGTGTTTCACAGCATAAGGGAAAAGGACAACCCAGATCAAGCAGTTGCCCTCCCAATTTACCTACGGTGGGTTCTTTTTAACTTTGAGCTGTGCAGTTACAGAGTTAGCCAGACACCAAAACTAAACCCTCCATGTTACCCACTCAACCAAAATGACCAAAAATCACAAAGTTTCTGTACCTTGCATGTTTCCTGGTCTCTAGAAGCCCAAATGCTGCTGACAGCTGAGCACCTGACATTTACCCAGATTTCTCTTGGTCATGCTTTAGTTTAACAGCAGATCCCACCACGTCCCTTAGAGATCCTAAAACCATAGCTTCAGCATTCTAAGTAAGTCCCACTGCCACCTGTAACCAAATTGAGCTTATGGCTTTTGAAGCTACCTGATTTTTCAGCTAGTTCAACTACAGTAGCAAGTAGGGGATGGCCTGGATGGCCTAGTTTAAGGGTAGTACACTAGACATGGGTTTTCTTGTAATGGCCTGGCACAGAGAAGCATCAGTATTCAAGAGCATTAGAGGCCTGCAACCAGAAATTAATATCTTGCTTTCCATTTAGGTCTTGGAGTTTAAATTATACTGTCTTTTTTTTTTTTTTTAAGGTTGTGGGTAGGACAAAAAAATGGAAGACGGAGCAAGAGTTAATAGATAAGACCAGTCTGTGGCAGCCATAGCTACAATGTTCTACACCACTCTTCACCTGTAAATAGTTCACACCCAGCTACCTCCACAAGAAGGGGGACAAGTAGATTTGGGCCAGATGAGCCTTTGGCAGAAAAGCACTGCCCAGTTCTCCTTCACCCTGAATACCTCATTTTTTCAACTGCAAAAAGTCCAAATGATAGCAAAACTGTAAAAGTTTTCAAACAAAAAGGAACTGTCCCTTTTTCAGTCAGGAATTTGTCCTAGATGCCCAGCTCACTCCCAGCTTTTCCTCAAAGAAGAGAGAAGAAAAAGCTCTATGCTCTCTGAAAGGTACCACTGAGTCATACACTCTCACCTACCACACTCGGAGTGTTACTGAGTGGTGGCAAGGTAAACACCTGACAACCAACTGTGCAGAATCCCTAGGCCTTCTGCTGACAGATTCCCTTGAGGAGCTCAGTTTATGAGCCTTTACTCCACAGACCAGGCGGCTTTTCAGACTTTGGCACCTATTTCTATTTAGATATCAAGCTTGGTTGCTAAGCAACCAGCCAGCTCCCCTCCCTCTCGCTTACTCCGTCAGGGAGCCAGCTTCCTATACTAGCAGAACTGGTCAAACGGAGATCAATCTTGGACAAATCAGTGCTTGAGGGAACTTTAATGAAAGCAAGAAAAAAAAATGTGGTGCAAGAACAACGCAGAAGGGTTCTATTCCAGGCAGTTATGCCTTGTACAAGTAGAATGAAGTCATCAGGTCAGAGTTTTAACTGGCATAATGTCAGGCACTGTTCCAACCCCTTCGTTTTACAGTAATGAATCTGAAGCCTAGAGGTTAAATGACTTAGTAGTTCAAGGTCACTGAAGCAGAGCTGCAGCTAGAATGCTGGCGTCCAAAGTCCCAGGCCAAATCTCCCTCTACTACATTACACTAACACTGGGAGGTTTCAAAAAAGAAAGGGGAACTATGAAAGGTGATTTTTTTCCATAAATTAAATCAACTTTAAAAGCCAGGCATACTGTGGAGAATCGAAGGCCACTAACATTGTTAGAAAGAAGAGGTTCAAAAGCTGGTTAAATCTGAATAATAAAAAATACCGCTATGTACAATATTGTAAAAAAAGATGGCATTCATGATTACTGGGCTGGCAGGGCAGGGGGGAGTTGCATGCTGGGGGCGGGCTGCATGGGCTGCCAGCTTTCTTGGGTTTGGAGGATGCGGTACAGCTGCTTCAGTTGAGCAACGATGTTATCTTTGATGTCTGGAGTGGAGATCTGCAGGCGGACACTGCCACTGTCAAAGGACCGTGTAAAATCACCAGAAAACATCTCGTAGATCATCCGAGCTACCACTGGAATGACCTGTTCAGGACACAGAACACACAGGTATCCACTGAAGAGAAGGTAATTTCAAACAGCAGGAGGGACTCAAAATGATAGAAAGGCCCAGTGAGGCCCTGGGAAAGCTGCCACCCCTTATGTGTATGCCTAGACCATCTTGCTAAGGCTCACTCTAGAACTTGGTTCAAATGAAGGTAAAGAACCTATATGTTTCATTACATCATATGCCTAAATAAATAGCTGCTTATTTTGGAAGTCTCTTACCCACATTTCATTTGTTGACTATCTTTTTTTTACAAATCCAGGGACCAAACCCAAGTGGTCTTGCTGCCACTTACTAGAATAAGGTTACACTCTTAAAAGTAACTCAAAGGGTCTTTCTAAAAGAGCTAGAAAGGACCATATCCTGTTAGGTTTCAGCAAGACTCTAATGTCAGTAAGAGAATGCAAGGTAAGGTCTTCACTAAACCAGTCATCCATTTTGAGGACCTTTGTGCTCCAGCTTGGTCCTACTTTGGTAGGACCTACTTGGTTCTTACAATAAACAAAACTTGAGTCTGCTATTCTATTTGATGGGATTAAAACATACATAGGTTGATGGATCTTCGCTCAGCACAATCCTAGTCCTGGGGCTAAAGCACTGGTAAAAAGGCAAAGAGTTGTTGACATATCCTTATATCCTCACCTGAACCAAGATGAGTTTCCTTTCCAGGGGTTTCCCATCTGGCCATTCTTCCCCAAAGCATAAGTAGATCTCAAATGGTGGCTGCTTCTCTATCTGTCCTTTCTGGTGGGCAATGAGATCTGTAGAAGGTGGAAGAGCAAGCTTGGTGTACTTGGCCATTCCATATCCACTCAGTAAAATACCATCTTCTGGGCTGCCCAATTTAGTGGTCACTAGCCACATGTGGCTATTACATTTAAATTAATTAAAATTAAATAGTTCCTTAGTCATATGAGTCACATTCATGTGCTCAGTTGCCCCATGTGGGCCATTGTGGACAACAAATAAGAACACTTTTATCATTTCTGAGGGTTCTAAGGATATCACTGAACTAGACCTGGGGTTCAAATTGTATTGTAAAATCCACATCTCAGTGTTCTCCCTAAATCTATTTGCTTGAATTTGCCACTTGGTATTTCCCAAATGGGAAAAGTATGTTTTGCTGATTAAGATGAAGTCAACTTCCAAAGTTAAGGTGGCAGTGGCAGCATCTGGCAGTAATAACAAGGCTGTCTCCCTCTTCTGCCACTAAAGGAGCCACAACCAAACTAAAATTAGCTTCCAAGTACATAGCTTTGGAGTGAAATGCCCTTCTTTGTTGCCCAGGTCACTTTCATTTCTCAGAACTAAGATTCTCTTCTACCTTTACTTCCTCCAGGAGTTTTTTAAGATACCTGAAGAGCCAGGAAAGGGGGTTGGGAAGGTGGAAAACCTACTTCTGGGGTGAAGCCCCCAACCACCAACCTTCTGAAGAAAGACTTACCACTAAGGAACGTTTCCAGGCAAAACAGTTTGACCTTCTTTTGTCTCTCAATCAGGTTGGGGGCAACAAGCGATGGGGCACATGGCCCAGACCAGTATACTTTGCACTGGCACAGCCTGATGGCATAAATGGCATGACCGCTGACCTCCAGGATCAGTCCTCTGTCCATGACGTCTAGCAGCTTACTGGTGAACAGCTTCTGCTTCTCATTGGTGATATGCTCTGGACCTGGGAACTTCACCTGCTCCAGACTGACGGGACCAAAGAGTTCCTCTTGGTCAGGCATGGGACCCAGGTCCCCATAGAAGAGCCGGCAGCCCTGGGGGTTGCTCACGGTCATGGTCTGCCCATATTCCTTCCCACGGTACTGAAACTTGATGTCCAAGTCAGTCACTGAAAGGTGAGAGAGTACAGTGAGAGTCCTGCTCTAATGCTCTGCCTGGGACTCATCCAAGTCCATCAAGATCAAGCCACCTTTCGACCAGCATTCAGGAAGGTCACCACCACAGTTATTCTTCCTGCAACAAAGGAAGACATCAACCTATCCCTGTACTATTCAGTCAAAAGACTACCTTAAAAGCAGATAGTTCAAGGTCCATGTATACTATCTCTGTTTAATCATTACACCCTAAGGGCTAGAATTTCTCCAAGCAAACTTCTGGGTTCAGTCTCCTCATTTATACTGACTGACTGAAATGTTCACATCAGTGGACATGGAAGCAGCTAAAAACTAAGGTTATCTAGTTTGTGTCTCATTTTTGGCTCATTTAAAAAGAAATCAGAAGAATAAGAAAAAATACCAAGCCATCTTGTCTTTCTGAAAATTACACACATGAGCACACTCTGCGGATTTGTTCTAGTAACTTACCATAAAAGGACACACAGCTCATGGCAAAGTAAATTTTCACTCATCAAGCCTCCATTGAAGCTTACAGGTCTTATCAAAGCTATTACTCTCTTGGACCATATACTAGCCCTCACATTCCCACCCTCCATCCCATCCCCAATACCACCATGCATATCATGAAAGGGAGATGGGGTAGTAACACTGGTTCTTCACTGAGATCAATTTGTGTTCAATTCAGAAAGATTTTCTCCCTTCCAAAAGCCCCTCACAATCCAAGAAACTTCTTGATCAAATCCATGGCCATTAATCTTCCTGTCCCTCAAATGGCCTTATGCCCAGATCCCCTAGACAAACTGATGAACCCAGGCTTTCCACTCACCTAACAGGTGAGTAACCCTGAGCTGCAACTAATCACAGCATCCCCATGGGCAGGTAGATATGAACTAATGTTTCTTTACTTCTTCCCTGATGACTCATCAGCCAGTCAGGAACCAGACAGAGGCTGCCTATAGGACAGGTGGCTATTCTATATATGGCAAAGAAATGGAGGCAGAAGGTAGGGCAGGAAAGGGACTGTAATAGGAGCTGAAGACCCAGCTAGAAAGATCAAGTCTCACTTACTTGGGAGAGAGCTGATCCACAGCTCTGGAGAGCTATAGAAGGGCTGTATAGGTGCCTGGGGTACATCTATTTCCAGAGGCTCAGTTTTGGGCCACACTGCTTCAGGGCTGCAGTTGCCCACACTGGCTGGTGCCATGGGAGAACCTAGAACAGAAAGATGTGGGTGAGCAGGCAGGGGCACCACGTTTGTACATCACCTGGCTTGGGGCTTTAAAACCTAACAAGACTGACAGACAAGAGTCAAACACTGGACTATGACTCCATGTGGCAGCCCATCAATAATTTCCACAACTGACACAAAAAGAGATACAGTTCCCCTGCTTCTACTTCCTAATCATATTAATTCTCCCATAAACTCATAGTTCTGAAAACGTGCATTTGCTGAAGATGACCAAACACAGGAATATTCTCTGGGGTTAAATTAGAATGAGCATGAATAAAAGGTTCCCTATTGCAGATTTTCACCCCAGCAATTACATAGAAGTTGGCTGTCTTCTACAAAATGAACTCCTCTATAAAATGAACTCAACTGAATGAGTTGATTAGCTTTGAGTATATAGAAATTCCATTAAAAAAAAAGAAACAAATACCAGGGCGTCTGTGTGGCTCGGTCAGTTAAGTGTCTGCCTTCGGTTCCGGTCATGATCCCAGGGTCCTGGGATCAAGCCCTACATCGGGCTCCCTGCCCCTTGGGGAGCCTGCTTCTCCCTCTCCGACTCCCCCTGCTTGTGTTCCCTCCTTCATTGTGTTTCTCCGTCAAATAAATAAATAAAATCTTTTAAAAATAAAAATAAAATAAATAAACACAAATACTTTTACGTGCACAAAACATCTGGAAGGATATCCAAAAATCTAAAAGGATCAGTTTCTTCCAGGGAAACCAAACAGGGGGTCAGAGACAGAAAGGAAAGAAAACCTTTTGGTACCATTATGAATTTTAAAACATGTAAGACTAATATTTATTCAAAAGTATCCAATTATAGCTCTTAGGAAAGAAAATGAAATACCCATCCTATTTTCTTGCTATTCTCAAAGTTGGTTCACTCCAAAGTCTAGAGATTTCTCCTCCTAGCCTCACCTCTTAGGCATCTATTCTTCAACAATTCTTCTTCCTCTGCCCCAAGAGCTCTGAAATCATAGAAGTAATGTTTCTTTGTTTGTGCAAAAGTCTGGTTAAATCAATGTACCCGTTTTACTTTTTTGTTTTTATTTTTTATTTTTAAAGATTTATTTATTTATTTGAGAAACAGCATGTGCACAAACGAGGGGAGGGGCAAAGGGAAAGAGAGAGAGGGAATCCTTAAGAAGACACCCCCTGAGCAGGGAGCCCAACTTGGGGCTGGATCCCAAGACCCTGAGATCATGACCTGAGTTGAAATCAAAAGTGGGACGCCCAACCAACTGAGCCATCCAGGCGCCCCTACTTTTTAAATAGATGCCCCCCATCTTCCCAAAAATGATCCAAAGCAACCCCTAACATAAGGCCAACAACATTTGCTTTGGTAAAATATGAACAGAAATATGAAATCAGGGTCCTGGAAATAGGTTGCACCCTTTTAAGGGGTGAAAATAACAGAATGAATCAGCGAAGGATTTGGGAACGGATCTCGTATTTCCAGATATCCAACTCAAATCACTAAGTGGGAATGTAGCATGTGACAACATTGACCTGAGAGAACTCAATGATAATTTTCTGTACTCATCCCTTGGTTGTAAAGATATAAATAGCAGGTTAAGTGAAGGAGGGCAGGTGGACAGAAAATAAGAGTTATTTCCCGATTCTTAAAGGTAAGGCAATCACCTAAAGTAGGGGACTCCAAAATCCCAAAGGAATCATTTCGATAACATTTTCTAAGTGGCATAAGTATCTCATTTGACCCACAGCAGCCAGATGGAACTAGAAATGGAGTGATGAGCTTCTCAACTCAACTAGTGCATGGCATTAGACTAGGAGCATTTCAGTCGACAGTTCAAGTGAAGATGCTGAAGAGCACTTCACCTTGTATTTGAGAATCCTCAGAATGTGCAATGGAAGAGTCAGTACCTGCTCTGTTACAGTGGCCTTCCAACCCCTCAACTCATTTTTCCTGGGAAGCCGACTTCAAAAAGAGCATAAAAGAAGCAAAAAGTCTCTTACAGATAAATTCTATCAAGCTAAGTATTATAGAAACCACAAGTTTCCCAGGACATAGCCTTAGCAGAGTAGATACCCTGCTAAGAAAGTGACACAAAATTTCTATCAAGGGAAATAGTGGAAGACTTTGCCTATAATTCGTCAAAATGATATCTACACTTGACTTCAAGGAAATCAGCAAAATTTGTAACAACTGATGTATTTTTATGTGGGACTGAGAATGAATTTGTTTAACTTCTCTGAATTAGCTGTAAGATTCCGAAGATGTTCTCTACGCCTGTAAGCTGCCCACTGGGATAACTGGGCCAGCAGAGTTCCCCTGTCTACGGCCCCTACTTGTTAGTAGACCAGCAGCTTGGCCACAAGGCCTCATTACTGCTCCCAGTGCAGCAGGGGCTGAGGAGTCAGTAGTTGTTAATTCAAAGCCTGTTCCACCCTCTTCATTCTTCTGTACCACCCCCCACTATCCCCACTCACCATTGATGTTCAGGAAGGGGAAAGTGTCCTGGATGGGAACATGGTGCTGTGACTGATCAAGCTCATCTTCTTCATCTTCTTCATCTACATCATTATCCTTCTCATCCCAAGGAGCAGATCCAGTGGATCCTAACCAAGAAACAGACACATCAGCCCACGAGCGAGCTGCTGGGGTTGCACTGTCATCCTTATAGCTGATCTGCTGTATATGCTAGGTATTATTAGTACAGAGACACCCAGGGCTCAACATGTACCCCTAATGCCCCAGCCAAAAAGAGTGGGAACCAAAGGTATATTAACCTCTGGCTCTAACTCCTCCTACTGAGCTCTAATGTTAGCTCTCTTCTCCTCCCCTACCCAGGAGCAGATAGCATTTCCTTTCTTAGAAATCTCTTAATTCCCACCTTTAAACCTCTTGCTACACATTAGATTCCCTTCTTAAGGACTCAAGGACACCAACTTCTCCCCTTTGTAAGCTTAATGTGAGGACAGACCCTTCCCTCTTGGCAGAGCCTCACTAGATCCATTGGAGAACAAGTCTAAATCACCCGGCTCTCGGTACTTCCAAGGCACTGGGTAAACAGGAGGATCGGGTGGTATTCTCTTAGGAAAAGTATCCTACAAATTAAATAATCCCTCATCCAACATTTGCAAAGGGAACTTAATAGCTTTAAAATGTCATGTCAATTGAATCTTACAATAGTCTTTGAGGCAGGCAGGAAAGATGAGAGCCCAGATTTTACCAATGAAGAAACTGAGGCTCAAAGGTCAAATGACTAGATTCCATGTCCCATAAGGAGCAAAGTGATAAGAGCCAGGTTCAGAACTCAAACCTCCATCTTCAAAACCACCTGACCTCTCCTCTCAGTGCTGAGTCCCAAGGGAAGCTCTTCCTACAGTAGGTCTCTATCCCCCCTCTACTTTCTCATTCTTTTAAACAGTCAGGCTAGTAACTATTCCCCTAAGTGAACAAGAAGATTTTGCTGACATATCTTTTGTTTTCCAGGTCCTTCCTAGAGAAAGGCTTTCTTGCTTTGTAACTAAACTTTGTAAGTGATGTTCAAGTCAACTATCTCTTTAAAGCGTCCAGCCCAGAACCTGGCTTACTGTCCACCTGTCCTGCCAGCAGCTGGGGCCTCACCTGGGTTAATGATTGATCCCTGAGGTTGCGGGATGTCACACACTTGGTATATCTTCACCGGGTTCATGGGTACCTCCTTGGTGCCATCGTACATCAGGTTGAATTCCCTGCTCTTGTTGAGAGCACAGCGGAGCTGGGCCTTCCATTTAGCTGGGTCAGGGTCATCCACCCCTTCCTGGTACTTCCCTGTCTCCACAGCCCAGGCCTAAGGAACAAGAAACCACAGTGAATGCCTGCCATTGCCCAGAAGTACTGAGAAATCTGTTCACCCTCTCTCATACACATGAGCACGTACAACCGGGCCTGACTGCCCCGCCATCCCCATCCCCAGTTACAGAGCCTGCAGCAGGAAGCCCCACCCTCAGGCCCTGGCCAGGCAGGGCCGAAGGGACATTAAGCCATATGCAAACACAATCTTTTGAAAGGAGGAGCCTTATCTCAACTATTGGTGCCAGCACCACCTGTCAAGAGTGGCTATAATAAAGGTTAGAAATAAAAAAGAGCCTGGAAAAAATACAGTTGACCCTTGAACAATACAGGGATCAGGAATACTGACCCTCTGCACTGTCAAAAATCCACATATTTAATTTTTGACTCCCCAAAACTGAACTATCTTACTGGTAACAGCTGATTAATGATATTTTTTATACTGTAGACTATATTCTTATAATAAAGCAAGCTAGAGAAAAGGAAATGCTATTAAGAAAATAATAAGGGGGGGCGCCTGGGTGGCTCAGTGGGCTAAAGCCTCTGCCTTCGTCTCAGGTCATGATCCCAGGGTCCTGGGATCGAGCCCCACATCGGGCTCTCTGTTCAGCAGGGAGCCTGCTTCCTCCTCTCTCTCTCTCTGCCTGCCTCTCTGCCTACTTGTGATCTCTATCTTTCAAATAAATAAATAAAATCTTTAAACAAAAAAAAAAAAAAAAAAAAAGAGGGGCGCCTGAGTGGCTCAGTGGGTTAAAGCCTCTGCCTTCAGCTCAGGTCATGATCCCAGTGTCCTGGGATCGAGCCCCGCATCAGCAGGGAGCCTGCTTCCTCCTGTCTCTCTGCCTGTCAAATAAATAAATAAAATCTTAAAAAAAAAAGAAAATCATAAGGAAGAGAAAATATAATTAACAGTACTATATTTATTGAAAGAAAACCTGCACGTAAGTGGACGTGTGCAGGGGTGTCTGGTTGGCTCAGTTAGAAAACCACACAGTTTTTGATCTCCAGGTCATGAGTTTGTGCCCCATGTTGAGTATAGAGATTATTTAAGTTAAGTAAGTAAGTAAATAAATAAATAAATTTAAATAAATAAATAAGTGGACCCATGCAGTTCCAACCCATGTTGTTCAAGCATCTGCTGTATACCCCAAAATGCTAATGGTAACTTTGGATAGCAGGATTTCAGGTCAATTTTTTTTTTTGGCTTATTTGTTTTTGACATTAATTACTTTTATAAGACAACAAAGGGAGACGCCATGTGATATGAAGAGTTTGGCCTTGCTGTTCCCTCCCCCTACATTCTTCAATCTGATGCATAAATAATTGCAGAAAACAAGTGCCTTTAGGAATAATAGCCTGTCGGAGGGCAAGGCAGCACAGTCTGGAAGTCCAGCTGGAGGCGGAGGGCCTCATTGGACTGGTCCCACACTCTTTGCCCTTCCTTAGTTCCTCAAAGTCCCACTTCATTGGGAATACTTTGCTGCAAACACCAGGTATGAGCTAAAACCGCTTTGGCTCCTCCTCACTGGTTCTCCATTTCTGGGTCCAGAGGCATGTGTGTTTCCACTCATGGGCTATCCACTCTCCCCCACTACTAACATACTCTCAGAGCTCTATGCTTTCTTCAGGATGTTACCTTCTGATGCAGAAAAGGGGGATGTCATTAGCAGAGACCTCAAGACCAGGAAGCACACCCCAGCTTGTGGAAATGGACAGGGCTCATGTCCAGTTCCAACTCCTTGCCTCTGCTTCTGACCTCAAGCTGAAATGGAAATTTTCTGCCCCGTCCTTTGAGATCTCTGATCTCCCTCAGTCACTCCCAGCCCCAGACCCTGACAATCATCCGGAAGTTTCTTCCAAAACAAATTTCAGTCCTCCTCTTCTACTTCAGACTCAATTCTTACCATGTCCTCAGACTCGAGCACCTGCAGTGTAGTTCTACAGTACAGAATGTGGAGGTCTGAGAAATGGGTGCTGCCCCATATGGCTATGCTGGCCCCATTCCATCCAGCTCCCTACAGGGGATGTTTATGTCACTGGTCCGCAGTATCTGAGAAGCACGTCTCTAGTTGTGCCTGGTGGTACCTGACTGCTGGCTCACCACATCTTCCCTTCCGTTTGTTTGATCCCCGGTACCCACTCCTGCTTTGGCCCCACCTAGCTGGCTTGGGCTATGCTGACCTTGGCTCAAGTCTAAATATTTCTGTGGCTCCTTAAATCCCTGCCCCTCCATGGAGAGCAGCCAGACTAAGCCAGAACCACAGCCCCAGCCTTCTGGCTCACAACACAGCCATTCCTCCTCAGGGCCTACTCAGAGGGTGATGCAGCAGCGGGGCTACCCACCCCATGGCAATCGTAGTGATTTATAAATAGGACATACTCAACCCATTCTGGGTCTTGCTTCTGACACTCAGGTCACTGTGCAGGTCCCTACTACTTCTCTTCCAGAAATGGAAGTAACCTCTGTATTTTAATTGGTAATTCACTAGTCCCTCCCTACACATTATTTCACTCAATTCTCATAACAATCCTGTGAGGCAGGCAAGACTGGTTTCATCCCCCATTTTACTGAAGGGGAAGGTAAAGCCCAAAGAGATTATGTGACATGTTCAAGACCATACATGCAACTGACAGTAGGATCTGAAACCAGGCCTTCCAATTCCTGGTCAGAATGGGGTAGATGGTAATGGGGGAGCAGACAGGCTTGGGTTCAAATCCTGGCCACACCCCTCACTAGCTGTGCGATTTGGGCAAGTTACTTAACCCCTCAGAGACTCAGCCTCTGCATCTACAACACTGGGTAATACCTCCCCTACACAGTTGCTGAGAATTAAATGAGACAATGGACAAGGGATACAGAGCAGGCACCCATTTAACGCTAGTGGTCCCCTGCCTCCTTCCTGCTCCCACAAATCCTGCCCAAGGCCTGTCAAGAACTTGGGATCTGTGAAAGTGCCCTCACTCTTCTCCTGACTTCTAAGGCCCTCCCTTAGCATTCTGCAGAGATAGAGACATAAGCAAGACAAGCCTCCTGCAGCCATGTTTTTCTCAAGCCCTGAGCATGCAGACCACTCTCATGAGTCGGGCTTTCAGGAACCAGCCTCTTCCCCCATGGCCAGCCACCCCCAGCCACCAACAGCAAATGCAGTTTCAGACCATGGCCACAGCCAGAGGCCGGCTGGGCTGAGGCAGGCCCATTCCCTCCCAGTGCCAGCTTCAGTAATTGGGGCTGGTTTACAAATGTTTTTCCCTATCATTTTTTTAAATTAAAAGCGCTCATTTACTTTCCTTCTAAGTGCTTTCAGGTCAATTTTCCCTCTGCCTCTCGTGTCTACACCTGATATAACAGAGTTAGGTGGGAAACATCTCTAGGACGGCTCTCCTTTGAGGTGAGCCCACATCTTCTGATCCAATCTCAGCAAGAACTGGGGCGTCAGTCTTGAGAGGGCCAGGGTAGGGACTGGATTTCACTTCTGACTTCCAGCTTATAGAGGAAGAAAAAGCTAAACTCACTCCTCCGTGTCTTGGAGATGCAGGAACTAAAGCAACTCACGAGATGGAAGGCTGACCAGCACAGAGAAGTTGGTCGGAAGCAAAGGCACAGGGTCTGGAATTAGAAACCACATGCCACCCCTTCCCGTGACCAGCTTCCCACCTACTTCTGCCTTAAGCCAAGCTTTGGCTTCACTGAATTTTGTAAAATGCCGTGTGACTAAATCTTGTTTTCCGTTAAGTAAAGCAATGCTCACATCAGAGCTATTTTTTATTTAAGAAGACACCCTTGTAGAAGAAAAACCTGTACTAAATCCACCATTAATTTGTAAGCAGAGGTCATGGACGAGGCAAGGTATTTTAATATCAAAAGAACACCGTGAGAAAAAAAAAAAAAAAAAAAAAAAGAACACCGTGCAGAGGGCCCTCTACATCCAGCCCATAGGCTACATTAGGAGCTACTGCAACACTCAGTAGTTCTACCCTGGTCTGGAGGGTCATTCCCAGGCCCAAGCGCCTGTCTTCATAGCCAGAGCCCTGAGGGCATGAACAGCAAGGGTCACTTGCTGGCCCTCCGGAGCTTTTGGAACAACCACATCAACACAATCACTTGCAGTTTTACCAACTGCACCCGGGATCTTTTGGGATATAAGTTGAGTACTTTTAGCCAGTGGGAAAGAATAAACACCCTCAAACATCCCAGACGTGCCCCAGCAAGAGAAATTACTGTGCCTAAGTTTGGGCGCCCCCTTCATAAACATTCTCTCTGATGCATTAGCATTTGGGATCTAATGTACTCCTCATGCCAAAATAGAAAACAGAACAAAACAACAACCGAAAACCCCAGAAAGCTCTGACAGAACTGGAAAGCATTTTAAGTCAGACGGTGGAAGAAGCCCTTTACCTTGAAAATGGTATTTTCCTCCTCTTGTTGGGGGCTATGCCGGGTGGCATGTTTCCAGGGAATCTGGAAGCGTTTGGAGTCCCTGTGTAGCCAGATGAGCCCGGGGTACAGGCCACTATCCACCTGGGCCACCAGCCAGGGCTTCAGCCGAACTCTGCGGGGGTGGAGGGCCATGATCTAGGGGTGGGGGGAGGGAGGGTAAAGAGTAGGGAGAGCAGGAGAATCATTAGGCCAGCCTCTGGGAACTTTTCCCAGCCACTGTTCCCGTATGATAGAGCTACAGTTTCATTAGATTACAGCAAAGAAACTAAATATGGGAATAGACTGTGCCAGGTGGGGAAGAAAAGAAAAGAGGTTAAAAGGTTCTTTTGATTCTTATTCCAAAGCCATTTATACTTCATGTTCCAGCCAAATCAGACTTATCATGTAAGTAGATCACATTTCTCCTATTTAAATCCTGAAGCAGGAAAATAAAAAAAGATGACATCATCCCTGCTGGAACACAGTCCTTCCTAAAGAACCAAGGCCTTTGGAAGAGAAGTGAAATTGCTCTTTTCAATCTCATCTCAGGAGACAGGAGAAAAAAAGTTATGGAAACTGCAAAGATAGGGGCAAGAATTTGAAGCACACTTTCTTTTTAGACAAGACAACTCAACACGATCAGGAATATTTTAATAAGAAATGACAGCACCGTGGTGAGAGGCTAGGAGGCAAGGGGTGGGTCCTGGTTCCAAAGTCCTCACTTACAGAGATGAGCGGGCAGTGTATCCACAGGGATCCAAAGAGCTGGGCCTCGAGTCAGCTCTCCTTCCTCTGGGCTGGCCAAAGACTCTGTAATCAAGAAAAAGGGGTCCCAAGTTGGTTATGCACAGGACAATCCAGTGAGTGGCTGGGAGAAGACTTGGGAACATGGGAGACAAAGGCTCTGAGGACCCTTCTCACACCTGAGTCTGGGAAAGTGCAGGAGCCCAAGAATAATCAAGTGCTACGGCTCTTCACCCTAGACTGCTAAAAACAACCCTAAGACAAGCTGGCCTCTTCCACCTGGGTCTGTTTATCTCCCCACAGAGGCTAGAGTGAACTCATGGGTTGCAGGAGGCGGCCTGGGTAAAGTCTGCAATTGATCCTCATAAAAACACAGGAGCTCGGCAGATAACATTCGGCACCAGCCTGCACTCACAGCAGGAAACAAAGGCCTGCCCACGCTGGGTGCCTTTAGGAAAAACTGGTCCCTAGAGAATTGTTTGCCAGGGATGTTGTATTTAGGTATTTTTTGTTGTGTGTGTTCTCCTTTTACTTTGTTTTTACTTAAGGTTAGGTCTGCAAAATCGCCTTCCCTCAGCAAATACACGTCCATCAGCTACTGTGTCCAGCACTATGTCGGTTAGAAAGCACATGGCTTTCATCAGACTCCCTGAAGAAATCCACACTGCAACTGCTCAAGCCCCACAACGGCCTGAGGAAAGGAAGATAAATAAGTCACCTTCACACCCAGGAAGGTCCCCACCTGGATCACAGTTCAGAAGCCAAACCAGTTGAGTCAGCTGAAGGTTCCCACTCACAGGAGCTTAGCTGAGGGGGTGGCCCCGAACACCACTTCCTTCCCCAGCCAGACTCCCAACAAGCAGGGAAAACCCAAACCCAAATCAAGCTGGCTTCTGGCACTTTAAGAGCAAGGCAGGACCTGCTCTCACCTGAGCCTTCTGACCCAGTTAACAAGTCCTGCAACTGAAACCTTCCCCCTGGGAGCACAGCTTAGAGTGGGCAGGTCAGGTTGGCATGCGGTATTCAACTGTCCCCCGACCCCATGTTCTTGGCCTTGTTCGGGCTGCTTTGTAGGGCAGCAAGTCAAGCCATCAAACCAGGGGGAAAACATTTACCTTATAAGGAGGAGAAAATGCATATTCTCCTTTTTTTTTTTAAGATTTTATTTATTTGACAGAGAGAGAGATCACAAGTAGAGAGAGAGAGAGAGGAGGAAGCAAGCTCCCTGCCTAGCAGAGAGCCCGATGTGGGACTCGATCCCAGGACCCTGAGATCATGACCTGAGCCGAAGGCAGAGGCTTAACGCACTGAGCCTCCCAGGCAGCCCAGAAAATGCATATTCTCCTAAGGACAAGTTCTACCTTCTCCTCCTCAGTCCCAGCCTACTGGAAAGGGGATGGAGCAAGGGAAGGACAAATGGGGAAATGGACAGCACACTGGTCAGCCTCGTGAGGGACATTTGAGAATTTCTATTGCAGTACCCGTAAGTCCTGTGTCTACGCTTGTCAGACATGTGAAATCAGTTCTAGACGGACCATGGACTTTGATGAAAAGCATTTATCATAGTTGATCAACAACTCATCAAGAGAAAATTAAAGCAACCAAGTAAACGCAGGATCCTGCACATAGTGATAGGGAAGAAGTAATATCATAGAGACTGATTGTTAAGATCCAGAGTCCTGGGTTCTCAGCCTTCTCTCAAGATGGCACTGCACATGAACAACCCTGCCCCAGCCTGCCTTCCTTCATGCCCCACCTGCATCGCTGCTAACCCTCTCCAACTCAGTCAAAAGGGAGTCAGCCAAGATCTCCCCCACCTGCCACCCAGTACCTAGGGCTCTAAAAACTGGCAGAGAGTGAAAAGTTGGAAGCAACCAAAATAACAGAGGAAAATGGCTAATTACATATTCACAGGCTGCACTATTAAGCAACCATTAACAACGGGGTGTCTGAAGAATTTTTATTGGATTTGGGGAAATGTTTACAACATGAAGTTAAGGGAGAAAATACAGCACATAATACCGACTATATAGTATTCTCTCCATCCTTTAACATAACATGCACTTGCACACATATGCACATACACACAGATGATTTAAAGAAAGGAAAAGAAAGGGCGCCTTTCTGCCGTCAGTGGGTTAAAGCTTCTGCCTTCGGCTCAGGTCATGATCTCAGGGTCCTCAGATGGAGCTCTACATTGGGCTCTCTGCTCAGCAGGGACCCTGCTTCTCCCCCCGCCCCCCACCACTGCCTCCCTCTCTGCCTACTTTTGATCTCTGTCAAATAAATAAATAAAATCTTTTTTTAAAATAGTAAAAGAAATACACCAATGTAACAAGACATCCAAAATGGTTACCTGGTGATAGGATTACGGGTGAATTTTATACATATCTATATACTTTTGTGTATGATTCACATTTTCCTACAATGGCATGCTTCAATTTATAACAAAATGAAAAGAAAATCGAGGCGCCTGGGCGGCTCAGTCAGTTAAGCGTCTGCCTTCAGCTCAGGTCTTGATGCCAGGGTCCTTGGGTGGAGCCCCACATAGGGCTCTCTGCTCAGCGGGAGCCTGCTTCTCCCTCTGCCTGCTGCTCCCCCTGCTTGTGCTCCCTCTCTCTCTCAGTCAAATAAATAAATAAATCTTCTTTAAAAAGTGAAAAACAGGGGCGCCTGGGTGGCTCAGTGGGTTAAGCTTCTGCCTTCAGCTCAGGTCATGATCTCAGGGTCCTAGGATAGAGCCCTACATCGGGCTCTCTGCTCAGCGGTGAGCCTGCTTCCCCCTCTCTCTGCCTGCCTCTCTGCCTACTTGTGATCTCTCTCTTCTCTCTGTCAAATGAATAAAAATAAAATCTTAAAAAAAAATAGTGAAAAACACCTACACATAGTATTTCCTTTAACCACAGGAAGCTAAGACCTTTCTTGGCCATTGGAAGGTATAAAAGATGATGCCCTTCATCTTTTCATCTTCATAGCTGCTGAGACTATGATACCAACAGTCCTTCATACCTACATAGGCTTTACAGTTTTTTACATGCACTTTCATTTAACATGTATGATTTCATCCTCATGATCTGGAAGTAGTACTATTATTATCCCCACTTTATAGCTGGGTTAACTGAGACACAGAAAACTGCTTCATCTGGGGCTTGGACCCAATACTCCTGAGTCAGAGTACACCATAGTACTGAATCCTGCCACAATACCCTGCCTTCCAAGTCCCTCCTTCTGCACACTAAGAAAGTAAACCAAAATATTGACAAGATCCCAGCAGCATGAAAGTCCAAGGAAGTGGTTAGCGAAGAGACTCCATGACACCCACCCCCAAACACACCTGAATCAGAATTCTCGTTCAAAACACTCACATCACCCAAATCTCAATGCCCACAGAACCTTGGCCTAGCTGGACTCAGCCCTGGTATCTCTAGCTGCCATCACAGTGAAATTCAAAGCCTGTGTCTCCAACAGGTACTTACCTAGCCAAAGAACAAAGATGCTAACCTGTCCACTCCCCTCACACTGGGCACTAAGCAGGGATCTTCCAACCTCTCCAAGGCATAACTGTCCTCTCTCACACACCCATTCCAGGGAGCAGGTCCTCTATAAACACTCCCCACCCCCACTAGTTGCAGCCCCTGCCCAGACTAGTTTCCAGGGGCACCAATACCCCAAAGCCGAGCTTCGAGATTGGGCCAGTGGTTTGGCTTAGAGTAGAACACACTTGCCAGGTAGTTCCTTCAGGGAACTGAAGGCCATCTTCCAAGTTCCCCAACCTTCCCTCCATTTAGTTTAGCCCTGCTTAGGGGTAAATTCTGTGCCTCTCGCCATAATTCCCATGCCCTTCTTCCCTGCTGGATTGAATTTGGGGGCAGGTGAGAGGGAGCTACAGGGTATTGGGAGCTGCTGTCATGCATTATGCACACATCTAACCCTAAACTACTCTCCTGGGTCAGCACCAGCCTTCACTAACTCCTACTGGAGCACCTTCTCCCTCTCCCTTCCCTGGATTCCACTTTTGATAGCCACTAGGAAAGCAGGTTTGGGACAGAGATGACCCTTTTACTACAAAGCAGGCTCCGTGTAAAGAGTGGCATCCCGGGCCTCCTTCCCAGTCAGGGCTGGGAGACTTTCTCCATTTTTCCACAGCCACCCTCCATACCCTTCAGGCGAAGAGGGCCTCACCCCCAGAGCGACCACACCCAGCACCACCCTGCCCAACACCAAGCTTGGCTACTTGGAAGTCCATGGCTGTCTCCCACTCCCCACGTAGGGGCCTGACTGCCAAACAAATTCAAGGAGAAAAAACAAACTGGCTAAAATCCTGGCCGCCCCATCCCCATTTCCCCAAACATCTACCAGGACCAAAGGCCCGCAGGCCTAGGAAATCCCCTCTTTGGGACTCGGGCCAGCGGCCCAGCGAGCTGGTAAGACGGGAGGGGCGGAGGCGCCTAGCTCTACCCCGTGGTACGTGGGTAGAGGCCGAGATAGGCACACTCCGGTAGGGCAGGGAGGGAAAGAGAGTAAAGTGTGGGGTCGGGAGGGGCCCCGCGTGCTCCAGGGCTAGGACAGCCCAGAAGCTACCGAAAGCAGGGCGACAGGCACCCAGCCCCAGAAGGTCTCCCCAAACAAACAGATGTTCTCAAGTAAGGTTCCTAACCGCACAAACTCTGGGGCGGGCGTGTCCCCAAACCCCACCCCCACCCCCCTCCAAAGCTAGTGTTCAGAAGTTAGCGTCCTCACCTTTTCTCAGTCCGGCGACAAGAAGCGGACGTCCCTCCAAACCACGTCCCCAGTTAAGATCTCCCGTCGCCACAGCTCTCCTTGATCGGTCCGCCAAGCACACCTGGCTTTGCGCAGGTAGAGTCTTGGAGCTCCGCTCCGCGTCCCGCACCGGCCCTTACCTGCCCGACCAAGGTGCGCCGAACTCACGTCAGCGCCTCGCCCTGGGACGCCACCGCCCCTCTGCCGTCCGGCCACGCCTCCCAGGTATGACCACGCCCTCTCGCGTTCGGGATTGGCTGGTTGAGAGAAATTGGATCCTCTGTGTTCCTGGGCGGCCCAGAGCAGCCCAGCCCCTTCCTCACCTCACTCTCCCGCTTCTAACCCTGGCTGAGAAAATTCTCAGACTCGCGTCTCGATCTTGTGCCTCCGGGCTGGTGGTCTTGGAAACTGGGAGGTCACATCTAAAGGGGAGAGGGTGCCTCCCCTTTCCTCTTGTCCTATAGTTACCCCGCCGTATGGAGACAGTTAACCACAAAAAAGGGTTTAGAGATTCTGGGCTGGCCCTACTCCCTTTGGGCCTGTGTAAGTGAGTGGGATATGGAAGAGACTCAGGACACTTAGTCCCCTGGAGAGAGAAGCCTTGTGGCTTCCAGAGCAGAAATTCTGCCTTTATTCTGCCCCTTACCCGAGTGACTGTAAATTACTCGGCTTCTTGGTTTCACTTTTCTCGTCTATTCAAGAAGAATAATATTTGCTGCCTTTTCCAGTCACTATCCGGTAATGACTAAAAGCATGGCCTCTGGAGCTAACTATTAGGAATCAAACCCGAACTCCATCAGTTACTAAGACTTGGGAACGTTTCCTAAGCTCTCTGGTCCTCAATTCCTTATGGGTACAGCGAGGTAAATAAAAGTACCCACCTCAAAGGGGTGTTGTGGAGGCTCAATAGGTTGCTTCATAAAAAGCATTTGGAGCAGCACTTTGGCAGTTATTGAGCGATATTTAAATACTTGAAGTTTTTGTATATGGATCAAAAGTATATAGACAATGTCTCACAGACAGAATGAGGTGACGTCTCCTGTTATTACCTGACACTCAAGGCCTATATGTCCCCTAACAGGTGTTTGATGGGAGTCCCCTCTCCTTTCCCACTCGAGTGAATCCCAGTCCTTACAGAGTACATGCTTACAGGGAGCTCTGTACCAGTACGGAGACCCTGAAGCACCGAGCTGGCACAGGTAGGAAGGGGCATAAGCCGGGTACTTAGGTTTTGGAGTTTAAAGCAATAAGTGAGAGACCAGGAAGGAGTAGTGTTATGGTTGAATTGTGTCCCCCCCTAAATTCTGATGTCCCCCCAATACTGTGACCTTAGTTGGACATAGAGTCTTGACAGAGGTGATCCCATTAAAATGAGGTCACTAGGGTGGGCCCTAATCAACTAGGACTGGTGTCCTTATTTTTTTTTAAAAAGGGAAAGTTGGACATAGAGGCTGACAGACACAGAGGGAAGATGATGTGAAGAGACACAGGGAGAAGATGACCATCTACAAACCACGGAGAGAGGCCTGAACAGACCCTTCCCTCAGAGCCTTCAGAAGGATCCAACCTTACTGACACCTTGATTTTGGACTTCCAGTCTGCAGAACTGTGAGACAAGACATTTCTGTTGCTTAAGCTACCTGGGGCACCTGGGTGGCTCATTCGGTTAAACGTCTGCCTTCAGCTCAGGTCATGATCTCCAGGTCCTGGAATCGAATCCTGCGTCAGGCTCCCTGCTCAGCAGAAAGTCTACTTCTCTCTCTCCTTCTGCCCTTCCCTACCACTCCTTCTCTCTTTCTCTCAAATAAATAAATAAAATATTTAAAAAAAAAAAAAAAGCTACCCAGACTGTGGTACTTAGTTCCATTAGCCCAAGCAGCCTAATACAAGTATGTTGGAGAACTCCAGATTGGTAATCATGTGAACTTGATTCCCAGTGCTAGTTCAGCTACCCAGACTGTGGTACTTAGTTCCATTAGCCCAAGCAGCCTAATACAAGTATGTTGGCGAACTCCAGATTGGTAATCATGTGAACTTGATTCCCAGTGCTAGTTCAGCTTAGGGACATATCGAGCAAAGGTCTGTGAAGATATCAAGTCTCCAAGCCTGACTTAGCCAACTTCTGGCTCAGCCACTGCTGGTGGCCACTCTTGCCTTCATGAGGGGAAGGACTATTTCATCAATACAGCCTGCTCTTTACTGCTCACTGGACAAGCAACTTCTCCCATTTGGCTCAGGGTTTGGCTCTTGAGACCAAGCAAACAGTCCACTGCAGGTGTGTGTGAGGGGTGGGGGGAAGACCACCAGGAGAGCATCATTTTAATGGGAGCCAAAAGCCCATCATACAAGCATGAGCCCACAGACAGGCATTCACTGCGCGCTGGCAGAAATCCCCATAACTAAGGTGATTTCTTAAAGATTTTCTTTAGAAGACATACTTGAGAATCAGAAAATTCAAGCTGGGAGGGCCCTTCTAATCCTCTAGTCTGAGGGTAAAACTGGCTTAGAGATGTTTGTTTGACCCACACAGTATTTTAAACACCAGGAGATTTCACATAAACATCCAGATTTTCAGCATCTCTCCAAGAGTCAGATGCTCTGGACAGCCTGGCTCAGTAGTTCCATCTGACACCAGCTGCTCATTTAGGTGGAATCTGCATGTTAAAATCAGGACAACCGCACCCTATAGGATTCACTCATTTACTTTAACTACCTGACCCCGGAGGCATATGAGTTTGCAACGCCTAGTCCAAACTCACCCTTTTCAATGATGAGAAAACTGAGGTCTAAGAAGGTCCAGTGATTTGCTCCAGGTCATGTAGCAAATTAGGCACAAAGCCAAGGCTAGAACCCAAACCCTTCCACTTGGACCCTGTTCGGCATCCCAGCCAGAGTCTATTCCGACTGATGCTGCACTGGTTGTTAATTTTTTTTTTTAATCACCCATGTATCTAGGCACTGTTGATACTATGGTGAAGAAAACAAAGTCCCAACTCTGGGGTCACTCTGCTGAAGAATCAATGAAAGGGAAGAAAGCAGGAGGAATTAAGGTAGAGATCAGGAAGAACTTCCAGACTCTTTAAATGCTGAGATCTGGCAATAGCCACCCTGAAGTCTTCTTTGGCTTGAGATATACCTCATCTGCTTGGTCTGGGGAATAAGAACAACTTGCGAGCCCCTCCAAAGGCTCAGGAGGAATCAGTTCTTTGTTCTCCAAAGGGCACTCTTAAGATTCAGAGATTGTCAATGTGGCTTGGGCCTGTGATATTCCCATTGTTTTGCCTTCCATCCCCATTCACGTAAGGCATTGCTGACTCACTTGTGAGTCTGAGTTTCAGGCAGTGAGATGTATGTTTCAACACAGGGGCATTGATTTATAGCTACAAGGAATCTGGGAATTCCTCCCTCCTGCTCGCAGGCAGCTCTTACTTTGTGAGGATGGGTCTCTCTTACCACCAAGAGGCTTTCATCTCTACAGTATCAATCATATGACAATAAAGCCATGCGACCCAAATCCCACTTGTCTTGGCAGAGCAGAGGGCGTGGCAACTGGGACTGCTCCCAGTGGTTTAGTACAGTGGGGAACTTAGTGTCCCTGGTGTCAGTAATAGCACTAGACTGGGCTACTTGTTGGTGGGGCCATAGAAGAGGCTGAACAATCCAATTCTGTGCTCTCTCAGAGGAGCTCAGACCCCATCCAGCCTTTTAGAAGGCATTTTGGAGCCCATCATGACTACCCTAAATCCTACCCTGATTTATATCTAGCTCCATCCAAGTGTTTCAAGGTCCTAGGGCTACAGGTGAGCCTAACACATTGCCTCAACTGCAGCCTGAATTGTTGTCCTTCCTCTGTCCCCTTACTCCCTATAGAGGCACCCCAGAGTGTGATCCAGATTTGAGGTTCATTGAGATTTCTACCATGGAAGCTTCAGCAGAAATTAATTTATAAATGAATCTCTCTTTCCAGCCCAGGCAATGAAAGGGACTTCAGTTTGGGATTTTGGGTGGATTCCTCATTAAAGTGTTCAGAATTATTAGTTTCTTTTTTTTTCTAAATTTTATTTATTTATTTGACAGAGAGAGATCACAAGTAGGCAAAGAGGCAGGCAGAGAGAGAGAGGGGAAAGCAGGCTCCCTGCTGAGCAGAGAGCCAGACACGGGGCTCCATCCCGGGACCCTGAGACCATGACCTGAGCCGAAGGCAGAGGCTTAACGCACTGAGCCACCCAGGCGCCCCAGAATTATTAGTTTCTGACTCTCTTTTTATCCTTGAACTGAGCCAAGCACTGGTAAGCATTCTCAAAGAAGCAGCTTACTTTATTCCAAACTTGGATCTATGGGGAGGATGAGTAGGGGGAAAAACAAGGCTCAGTAAATCTCTTAGAAGTAAGCTGTCTCCAAATCCCAGAGTCCACTTCCACCTGCCCTGGAGAAAGCAGCTTCCATTGGCCCTGCAGACAAAAGACCCAAATAAGAAACCACCTCGAATGTGAAGATTCACAGTCCTGATTTTAAATATGCAGCCCTGTCAGGACAGATCAGTGTCTGATTTTGACTCCACGGTCAGCACCCAAGAACGGATCCTGTGATTATATGCTGCTGTCAAATGAGATTGTGGATATGAAAGCTTTCTGAAATTGGCCAAGTGTGGATGGGAGGGGTCGTCTCTGCACTTATCTGCTCTTTGTTTTCTCATGTAAATCATTCTCTGGCTTCCCTTAAGTCCTTTAGCACAGCAAGGCACAGGCCAGACAAGAACTCTTGTGAGCCAGGAACTGCTAGCATAGGTCCGGCTCAGGGTAAGCTACATGAGCACTGGACATGTGTTGACTTCAGAAAAATGAGTTATCTGGGGATACAGAATCTTATGGAGGACAGCGTGGTTAAGACACTGGACTTCTGTCCAATAGGACTGATTGACCAAATGTGTTTATCTCTTTCCCCTCCTCCAACCGTTGTAGAACAAGCACAAGGTTAAGAGAGAACAAAAAGCATGGTGGCGGCGGGCAGGGGATGGGGGTGGGGATAAGAAGGGATGAAAGATTGCAACATAAATATTAGGAGATGAAATATTATTTCAACAAAAATAAGAAGTGGGGACAGCTGATGTTTTGGTTATAAAGCTCTCAGTACTCTTTGATTTTTAAAGCAGATAAACATAATATTTAAGAAAGATATTATCAT